ATGATTTCCCAATACACCTGGCACAAAGCTGCACTGATCCTATAGATCATATCGCCAGCGAGACCACCTATAGCTCTAAGCCGGAGAGACCAATCGGTTTGTAGAGGGTGGTTCTTTCATTTTATGTACAATGGATTAGAAATTCTATGCATATAAGTACTGGGAATAAGTAACGATAAAGGAAAACGCTCGTTTATATCCACCAACCTAAACATCATTGCCTTTCCCACGCATCGTCATCGTCTTCTCCAGGAAAACCCTCAGACCTCTGGCCCCCCAACAGCGCAAACTCAACATCATCCATCTCTCCCTCACTCAAGCTCTCATCCCCGTTAAACCTATCCAGCGGCTGCCAGGCGCCCCGTTCTTTGTCCTCCGGACTCTGCGCACCTGCCCTTGACTTAAGCCGCCAGTATATAAACCAGCTAGCAAAAGCAAGGACTAAAGCCGATGCAAACCCCCCAAAAAAGAAAAGCAGTGACCGGACAGGCGAATCCCCATCACTCTCCTCATCATGCCGTCCCACAACTGCCTCATCGGACTCTGGATCCCAGGGGACCAATTTCGTGGTTCCCAGGATATGGCCCGTGGAGTTTAGGCCATGAGCACGGATATACGTTGATTCTGTATCCGCGGGAATGGGAATGAGGGTCTCAAAGCCGGATTTGGGCACCGCGGTTAAGAATGTGTATGTCATGGGGTTGGGTGAGTCCGCACCTTCGAGAGCCCAGGTTACGACTTCGGTGGCGCCGTTCCAGCTCGCTGCGACCGTGTAGTGGTACGCAGAGATGTCGGGGGATGTCGTTGGGTGGCCGGTCCAGGGGTATTTGAGGACGCGGTAGGACATGATGTTGCCGTCGCCGGAGGCGGCGCCGAAATGCGTGTTGCAGAGCACGGTGCCGTCGGAGGCGTACTCAGTCCATGTTGGGATGTGGCCGTAGCCTACGAGGACCTTTGTACTTTCGTCGTTAGAGCTGAGGAGCTGGACGGAGCCTTGCGATTGGCTGCTGATGGGGTTTGGGTTCCAGTATTCGTGGCGGACTTTGACAGTCATGTTTTCCGGATCGATGTCGAGGTAGAGGCCGCGGCTGGGTAGTTCGGGGGCGCCTGCGCCGCGGGAGGCATTGTCGAAGACGGTGATGGCCGTGCCGTTGTCGCGGAAGCGGGCGTGATGCTGCCAGGTGAAGTTTGTGGCTGCACTGTCCGAAAGGTCTGTGAAGTCGTTGTTTTTGCCGCCGAGGCGCCAGATGATGTCGCCTGTGCGGCCATCGATGTAGGTGAGGCAGCTGGCGTAGCGGGATGAGATCAGGTAGTTGCCCTTGGTATCTTTGTCTACACTGTTGATGTGGAAGAAGTCCCATGGGTGGGCTTCAGAGTCGCCGTTACCTTCGCGGTCCCGGTACATGTCGGTGAAGTTGAAGTGCTCGGATGCTCGCCATTGGAAGAGAGTTTTCCCGGTCTCGATGTCGAGTTCTTGGAACGTGCCGTCCCAGATCCAGCCTTCTTCGAGACCGCCGACTACTGTTAAGTCTGCAGGGATAACATCATAAATGGTGATCAATGCAGTGTCGTCCTGCGTGATATGGAACTCATGAAGATCGCCTGGGAGATGATTGGCTGCGTTGATTTTGTATACTTCTCGGTAGGAGGAGTCTAGCTTTTGGTGGATTTAGAATATTATAACTCGAAAGGCATGTGGAGATGGATTTTATTGCGCTTCGCATAGATAGGAAGGGGGAGATAAGCCCTACCATATAATATGCTCCCTCTCCATGTCCCCCAACACCATCATTGCCCATCCAGAAGGTTAAATAATCTTGTCCTTTGAACGTGTAAACATTCAGATTATATGACTGCCCATAGAGCTTCGTCCAGACAAGATGTCCATCCTGATCAAGGATCATCGGTCCTGGGTTCGCTACTTTATTTCCTCGGGGGGCGATGAATGTGTAAAGCCCATCCTTGCACTCATCGCTATACTGTAGATAATTCAATGCTGGGCCGATGATCGACGACGATCGATATGTCTCGGTAGGCCATTCGCCGAATTTCCCTTCATCATAAGCAACAGACTGGAAATAGGGACCATAATCCGCTTGTACGCGAGTAATCACAAGCGCTAGAAGAATCAACACCCCGTTTAACATGATCATCATCAACGGGAGGCCGACGAAGAAGCGCCCAACGTATACGTATGGACAAACAACACTAGCTACTAGAAGTCCCGGGGATGGACGCCGTTTAAATTCAAATTAATAGTGTCCATCGTCAAGGTATGGAGTAAAAAAAAAAAAAGGATTCGTCAGCTGAATCGGCAGATAGATTTTCGTTCATATATGCGCAGAATAGTCTTGCTTTCCGGTGGAGCTGCAGCCCTAATACTTCGTAGACAGGCATTCCATCGTCGGCTTTTGCGCCGTGAGATCCACATTTAGCGCCCCATTTTTTCGTGGTTGACGAACCACTGGGAATTGGGTTGCCAATCGCTGATGTTCTTCATATCTGGGGCTCCACCTGTAAAGGGAGACTTGAACAACATGAATGCGATGCGCAACCCCTTATTGTTTTTCGCTGGCTGATTCTCTGTGCACGCACGGGGCATTATGTTGAAGTGGAGGGAGTGACTGTCTTGGCAGGAGAACTTTGGGGTGGAGAACAATAAACTCCCTACTGGGGTTGTAGGGTTTGGTCTCTGGGATTGATTGATCAATTGATGCGATTGAAGTAGACTATGCTATGCGCCAGTACGCAGTGAGGCCCACTTGACCGCGTTGGCTTTCCGTTGTAGCCGGGTTCGCTCGTCTTATATCCGAGCTGGTGGTTGGCCGAGTGGGAATTATGATGGTTAGTAGTTGGATCAGATCCTTGGCGCCATGGATGTAGTAGAAAACATGACTTAGTGGTCGAAATTGAGAAGAAATGAAGTATCTTGGTGGTGTTTGGGATGATACTTTGCATGGGGTTGAACGCATTGAAAGCGATCAACAGGGGCACGTGCTCTCAGCTATCTCTCGTGGGCTACACTTTTGACCTTCTCTTCCGCGCTACCAGAACATTTGATATACTGTACCTACAGGGCTGCCAAGACTACTGCCAATGTTGGCTGGGTAGAGGTAGTACCAATATGGGTCTCTGCATTCTTGGCTGCTCAGTTGAAAGGCTCGCATAAATGCCGTACCACTGTTGTCACACCCGAGGAGGCTCCCAGAATCAATATGTACTACGTTTATCTTGTACCCATAAGGGTGTCACATCATTAATGTATATTCTTTATATCAAATGCTGGCTAATCTATGGCGTGGCAGAAAGCGTGTAATTACAAGACATAGAAGGGGTATCGTTCTAATTCACCCAGAACCAACGATCAGCCGTGAGAGCGTTTATTTGGAGCGCTTGTAGATCTTGCCGAGGAAGGCATTGAAGACGTCCTTCTTCAGTCCCTCAGACTCATCCACGGCGGCAATCTTCTCCTTCAGCTCGCCGACGATCCTCTCCTCATACTCTTGGTAGACCTTCTCGAGATCCAGCTCCTTGTAGAGGGCCTTGACCTTGGCCTCAAGCGCGTCATCCTTACGTCCGTAGGCCTCGTCGAGGACCTTGCGCTGCTCAGCATTGCAGCGCTGGAGAGCCTGGTTGACGAGCCAAGAGCACTTGTTATCCTTGATATCGGTACCGATTTTACCAATGACCTCGGGGTTTCCATAGGCATCGAGGTAGTCATCCTGAACCTGGAAGTACTGGCCCAGAGGGATGAGGATATCGTGGGCCTGGCGGAGGTTGCTGGGGGTAGCAAGCTGGAGGTAGAGCAGAGCCAGGGCGACAGGGAGGTAGAAGCTGTAGTAGGCGGTCTTGTAGGTGACAATGAACATATACTTCTCCATGGAGAAGTTGTCGAGGTCGACCTTGTCCTCAGGGGCGGTGATCAGGTCACAGAGCTGACCCAGCTCAGTCTGCCAGGTAGTCTCGTGGAAGAGATCGATGAAGTCGGCGTAGGCGGGGTGCGAGCGGAAGTGCTTCTTGAGAATGATATAGATGGAAGATTCGAGCAGGAAGGCATCATTAATGGCGATCAAACCGACGCCCTCGTGGCGGTACCAACATGGCTGACCACGACGAGTGATCGAGCCGTCCATAATGTCGTCGCTGACCAGGAAGAAAGCCTGGAGAAGCTCGGTGAGCCATCCCAAAATGCTGAGGTGCTTGAACTGCTCCTCGGTCAGGGGCTTCTCCAGAAGAGCCAGACCGGTGTCAGGACAGGAAAGACCACGGTTCAGCTTTCCACCGGGGACGTTGACATTGAGGGCCTGTTGTAAATAGCATGAGTAGTCAATACATGTTCTCCGTAGCGAATTGCGCAAACAAGCCGGGGGATTGACTATACCTTCTCGAACCACTGCAGGGCATTTTGGGGCAGGTTCGACTCCTTCGCATAGGCCAGAATATCTTCGGCCAAGGAGGGGAAGATCTCCTGGAAAGCGGCGCGGTCAGTGGCAGGCATCCCGACGTAAAATGGATCGGATCTGTAGGTTAATGGTGGAGAGAAGGAGAGAGGGGCAAGGGGAAAAGTCGGGGTGGGAAATTGATACCTCAGGTAGCAATCTAATATACCCCAATCGGTAAAGCCCCTCTACACTTTGTTTGCCCTGTTTGCCCTCCCCGCCCATCCGCCAATCAGGAGCTCAGCCCTCCCGGAACTGTACTCGGGTTCAACTGGATGCTTGTTGATGTTGATGCCTTTCTGATTCTTTTTCCTTGTACCCACCCGCTGACATTCGCGATCATTTAGCGCCTCCGTCGGCGACTGGAACTGTGGGGATTGATCCGTCAGCTGTCTCACTCAGAAGTTACCAGGAAAGAACGGAACAGCCTTGTTTCGCGCGAGTGTCCCCCACCATCCAAACAATCGCGCATGGACATGATTGGCGCGAAAGCTCGTTCTTGACTGACCACCATAACTACGAATATCTGAAAAAACCGAATCCAAAATATTACTCGTCACCATGGCGGCGCAATTCACCGAAGAAAACGTACAGGAGCTCAAGTTCCGGCTCGAGGACGCCACCATAAAATGTTCCGAACGCTGTTTATACCAGTCTGCCAAATGGTACGACGCGCAGGCCTTCCCCCAGCCCTTTTGAATGGAGTTAGATGTTGATCGGATAGAATAGGGCGGCTGAAATGCTTGACGCCATTGTACCGATTGACCAATATGACACAGACCCCGAATCGCCAATGGACATTCCCGATACACCCTCGACTCGCCCAAACCCCTACCTCCGAACCCAAGATCCTGTCGAAGCTTCTCTTGAAGCCCAGGAGTCCTACAAATACCTCCTGGCAAAGTCCTACTTTGATACGCGCGAGTACGATCGCTGCGCAGCGGTGTTTCTGCCGCCTACGATACCCCCCGTTGCGCTTTCTACGTCGTCGCCGAACCAAAAGAAGAGACAGTCGCTAACCCCACAGAAGGGCAAGCCGAAGCCATCCCAGTATGCAGGAGGGAAGGATAGCAACGTGTCCAGGAATCCATATCCCAGGTTGAGTCAGAAGTCATTGTTCCTGGCGCTGTACGCCAAATACCTAGCGGGAGAGAAACGGAAAGACGAGGAGACTGAGATGGTGCTGGGACCGGCCGATGGGGGTGCGACAGTTAATCGAGAATTACCGGATCTTGCGCGAGGGCTAGAAGGATGGCTAACAGAGCGTCGGGAGAAGGACATGGAAGATCGCAATCAGGGATGGCTAGAATACCTCTACGGGGTCATTCTTCTCAAAGGGCGGAACGAGGAGGAGGCCAAGAAGTGGCTCATAAGGAGCGTTCACTTGAACCCATTCCATTGGGGTGCCTGGCAGGAGTTGAATGACCTTCTCTCGAGCACAGAAGATGTATGTGGCTGTTCCTTGATGCGCATCTATGCTGGTCGGATGCTAACTATTAATCAGTTGAAACAAGTTGTCGACCTGCTCCCGCAGAACATCATGACACTTCTCTTCCACGTATACTGTAGCCAAGAACTATATCAAGCCACTGAAGATACGTATCAAGCGCTCTCAGAGCTTGAAACAATCTTTCCCAACAGCGCCTTTCTCATGACCCAGAGAGCCCTCCTCTACTACCATTCGAAAGGTATACAGCATTTCATACACTTGGTGCAGGTCCAAATGCTAACATTCTCGTAGACTTCGAAGAAGCATCACGTATATTCACCGAGATCTTGATTGCATCTCCTCACCGACTCGACAGCCTCGATCATTACTCCAATATACTATACGTGATGGGCGCGCGTCCCCAGCTCGCCTTCGTCGCCCAAGTTGCAACAGCAACAGACAAGTTCCGACCCGAAACCTGCTGCGTCGTCGGAAATTACTACTCACTCAAGTCCGAACACGAAAAAGCCGTAATGTACTTTCGTCGCGCCCTAACACTAGACCGTAATTTCCTCTCAGCCTGGACCCTGATGGGCCACGAATACATCGAGATGAAGAACACGCACGCAGCGATTGAATCCTACCGCCGCGCCGTGGACGTCAACCGGAAAGACTACCGAGCCTGGTACGGCCTCGGCCAGGCATACGAAGTCCTCGACATGTCCTTCTACGCTTTGTTCTACTACCAACGTGCCGCCGCACTGCGACCGTACGACCCGAAAATGTGGCAAGCCGTCGGATCCTGCTACGCCAAAATGGGCCGTGTTCCGCAGAGTATCAAAGCCCTCAAACGCGCCCTCGTAGCCGGCTCCTACTACGCCGAAGACCCATCCCAAATGGGAGGCTCAGGCCGCAAGATCCTCGACCCAGAAACCCTCCACCAAATCGCAACACTCTACGAACGCCTCGGCGATGATGAAGAAGCAGCCGCCTACATGGAACTCACCCTGCAGCAAGAATCAGGACAAATGCCGGTGGAAGAAGACGCGTCTTCCGACAACGAAAACGATGATGACCGGTCCGAGGCCGGAGCAAAACAATCCTCACGCCGAGCCCATCAATCCTCGTCGTATAACCAAAACGACGACGATGATGACTCTTGGCACGGTACAGGGCCGACAGTCACGACCTCGAAAGCGCGGTTGTGGCTCGCGCGGTGGGCTTTGCGAAATGGTGATCTCGAACGCGCAGATCAGTTGGCAGGTGAACTGTGCCAGGATGGAGTCGAGGTCGAGGAAGCAAAGGCGTTGATGAGAGATGTGAGGGCTAGAAGGGAAGGCGATGAGTAGTCTGCTCTATTTGGGCTGTCCACTCTGTATTGTTATGTTTTGCCTTGAACAGGCTTTCATTCCTACGGTAGCGAGGCGTTTGTGCTGGGTGTGCTTGCGACCTGATGTTTTCATCTTTGGGCTGGGAGGGGTGTTTATGACGGTTATATAGAGATGTACTACGGGTTATTTATTGAAAATATGAGTACAGCTTATAGAAGCAATCAATTAATCACTATCCTTGTTAATCCTCTTTAATAGGATGTTACAAATTACGCATTATAACAATCATCATAAAGAGTTCTGATAGTCGACTACCATCATCCATTCCCCAAAGTCGCAACCGACTCCAAAACACCCATAACTCGCCTATCAAACTCAACAGAAACCCTTATCCTCTGATTCAGAGTCCCCTTAGGACCCCCATCCATAGGCGTACAAGGAATCATCTCAACCCCACCCTTCAAACCCCACGAAACACAAGCATAAAAATACTTCCTCCCGATATCCTCCCATAACATCCGCACACCGGATCTGGGGTTTATCACGTCTGCGCCCAAGTCCAGGAAGGACGAATGGAGGATAAATACACGCCCGCTTTGTAAGTGGTTGTTGGAATGGGAGGGCGTTTGAAGTCTCTTGTAGAGACCGGTGGTTAGATCGAGGAGGGTTTGGCCTAGGGGGGTTTGCGCGGGGTTTAGAAGGAGAAGGGCTTGGGTTGGGGTGGTTTGTGGCTGTCTTTTGAGTGATCTTGATAGGAGGGATTCGATGAAGATGTTGAGATTCGGGCTGAGGGTTAAGGGGAGGGTACTGGTGGATTGCTCTTGGATGGATGCGTTGCTGTGGATGAGGTGGATTGGGAGGGTTGTTAATGGATATTTGGTGGCATTTTGAGGGGTGGACTGCTTTGCCATAGCTTCGGGGTCTTGCTTAGAGGTATTAGTCAGTGTAGATGGTATGGTTGAGTGGAGTTTTGTATTGCTGTTCTCGGGCTCGTCGGTTGACTTGCTTTGCTTGGACCCCGTAGGGTTGGTGGTAGAGGACCTGCTCTTCTGTTGGCGGGAGTCCTGGTGCGATGAGAGATTCTCGTTGCTTGTCAGGAAATTGCCATGGATATCTGAAATCTCAGACGAGGACGTTGATGCCATGATCTCGTCAATATAGATAGGGATTGTATGTGTGGTTTCTGGGGCTCGCTCGCTGCCTCTTTCCACGGAGCTGTTTGAATTTTGTATACATGCCTCATCTACGGGTGTGCTTGCAGGTCCGTTTACTAGACGCCCTTTCACTGGACTCTGGGTCAATCCAGAAGAGTTTGTCAAGCTCTGGGGTCGATTGACTATGTACTCCGATGAGCCGTTGCCCAGCTTCAGACGTTTATTCCATTCGGTTTCTTCTTCCACCAACTCTTCTGACGGGACTTCTCGGGCGTCTTCAGCGAGAAGCTGTAGCTCTGAGAATGATGCTGCATCCTCAAATGATCTATCCCAATGGATCTTCACGATCCTTGGGAAGCGAAGCGTATAATATCTGGCACCTGATGGTTTCTCAAACCCGCTACCTAGCATCTCGACCACAAACGGAGTCCTGAAAACGACGTCTATACCGGGTATATTGCCCGTTCCATACTCTATGTCAAACCCATGCCCGGAATCAATGCTGCAGGCAGTATATTCTCCAAATTGGTTGAGGATCTGCATGTTCTTCGCACTCATGTTATGTCGATTGATTACACCAACCACCCGAAATTTGGGCTTGGACTGCAGAATATCCTCTTTATTGAGGAGACAGCCAATGAAGAAATGTGTCCATGATAACTTGCGGATCTGCTGTAAGCCAGCGGCGTCTCGAGAATCATATTTCCCGCCGACGATGGCAAGATCTACCGTATCGCCTAGACCTGGGATGTAGTCTTTCTTAAGCTTAATCCAACGGCCCAAAGAACCATTTGCCTGGCTGGGAAAGGTGGTGAAGTACGGGTCTTCGCAGCCCTTTAAGACAAACCCTTCCCATCGCTCAGCGACGCCCTTGGCGAAGATATTTTCTAGCTGCAACTGACTCCCAGGTCGACAGAAGTCTAAGATTCGTTGTTGGGAGATGTCTGCAAAGCCTTCAATTACTTGTACTACGTTTTTCAATAGCAACCGTCGCTCTCGGTGTGGCTTTTTCAAGCAAATGTCGTCGTCAAGGAGTAGGATATCGAAAAACACGATCATCAAATGCTCATAAGGTTGTGGCCTAACTAGAGTCAGATTACGTTGCTCCAAGCAACTTGAATTTAATACACTCACGGGGAATCATTCTCCGTCCCGATAAAAGTGCCAGAACGGGTGATGAACTTGCGCAGCTTATGGAAATCCATAATTTTGCCGTGTCGATCGCTCCAGACAAGTAGCTCACCTTCCATAATACACCGGCGAGAGAAGCTGCATCCCGGCCTTCCTATTCTCAGAGAATCTCTGACAACTTGATGGATCCCTGACCGATCCTCAGTAGAATTCTTACCACTTTTCGAGAATATCTGAATAGGCCTAGAAGGCTTCGAGAGATCAACGTGTATTTGGCAATATTCACCATCATACTTCCTCTCTATACTCATCCGACGCCGGCCGATCATCTGACAGCAGTGCTTGATACTCCGAGCCTTGCAGTAGTCAGGTCTTCCGATCTTAACACCAACCACCGGATTCAAATGCTGCATCGCGATTATCCCCAAGCCCTTAGCTAGCCCTGGCTCTGGATGTGGTGGAAAATGACGGATTGGCTCCAACGCCAACATATTCAGCGTCGCCTCAAAGGAGTCTTGAAAAAGCAGAAGATGCGGGAGCAAGAAATGAAGGCTTCTGAGCGTCAAATCGCGCGGTAAAGTCACAGGAGCGTAATTTTTGAGTATTATGCGAGTCAGCCATTTGGCATCTCTACTACTCAACCGTCGGTAGAGAGGAGACAGGGCCTCATCGACATCAACCGCAGCCCTTTGTCTACGCACACGGGGCCCGGAGAATCTGCACCGAGACGCAACACTGTTCAAGGCATCATCAATCTCTTCGACAGTTACCTCCTGGCCTTCGGGGATGTGGTTTTCGGCCTCTCGCATAACGTTCTCCACGCATTGCGCCAGATCTATGCCCCCGGAAACGCGCCATCGCTCCAGCTCCTCCCGCCGCGATGACCCGAGAAGAAGACATCGACCTATTACCCTTGCGAGGGATGTGTCCTGTAGCCAGTAAACTCTGTCTGTCCGCTTCTCTGGAAACATGCACGAGAGGAGGGCCAACTGGTCGGTGTCTTTATCGTGGAGCTGTCTGCCATGCTGCTTGAACCACCGAGTTACCGTCTGGACATCTGGGTCATGGTTCCTTGCTTCGGTAGTAGCTTTCAAGGTTTGATTATTCTCGAGAGAGGAAAGTAGGTCACACAAATGGGGAAATTTGAAGCCCATCTATGAATGCCTCTGCAGGCAGATGCTTTCAAGCCACAGAAAAAGCTTTGGGCATTAATACTGCAGAATTAGACAGCCCACTCAAGTCAACGGTGTCATTCCTACCAAAGGCAGTGTATATTTAGCACAATGGCACGGGAAGCAGGACGCAACCTGAGCAACAGACTTGACGCGAAATCTCAGGGAACCCACACGGGACCGCGTCCATGGATCGCGAAAGCACGTGCTAGGTGCTAGATTGTTACACCATCGTTACTGAAAACAGGGAAAGAATTGAGAGATAGTCTTATCTTGTTGATGATAGCAAAGTCTTATGTAGAATACATGAGGCGCGTAAGGCCATGCACTGATAAAGCTATTGTTCCCAGCCAGACAACCCAATGGTATGAGACCCTACGGAAATGAAGAAAACAACCGTCAAACTCCAGGCTTTTAAACGTAAGATATGTGGATATAGGAGAATATACGTAATGCGCAGAGGGGGCCGCGGCTACAGGATGCCCTGCTTTTGCAGACTGGTAGACGTTAGCACAATTCAAGCCCCATGGTAAGAGAGGGGAAACATACTCCAAGTAGATCCGTTCTGGCATCACGTTGCCCTCTGCGTCCTCCATCTGCACCACATTGTCGCGGCTGTCCTTATCCTTCTTGCGGTCGTGCTCGAGCTTTTCCCACAATCGAAGGGCGTCGTCGATCCTGGTAATTTCGCGGAAAAGGTTTGTATTCGAGGTGATACCCAAACACTTCAGGCCCCAGATATGCAACCCTTCCGAGAAGTGCTTGTCGAAAGCGCGACGGCCCATGTACACAAAGTTACCGCAAACCTCACAAGGGTACTCAACACCCAAGCCGTGCAGCTTGTACAGCCAGTAAGGAATAGGCTTTCCATCCCAAGCAAGCGGCAGCTTAAGGGGGTTATAGATCCGGTCATCTCCATCATCGTCGGATTGATCGCCGGCGCGATCGCCGCCAGCAGTCTCAGATTCTGCAAGCAGCGCCTCGAGTTCCATCTGACGTTCTCTCTCCGTCATACCCTGTTTCCGCTCAACGTTGACCCGCGTGGCTTGACGCTCGGCATCCAGCACCTTCGCCAACGACCGAACACGATGCTCACGCTCTGCCACAGCGCGTTCCTTCAAGCGAGAGGCAACGGCCGAAACGCCATTTGCTGTTGCTGGCTTCTCGCCAGAGTCACCGGAGGCCTTTTTAGCCTCAGCGGCGCGAATATGTTTCTTGCCTGTCAAGTGATTCTTGTACACGTTCTCGTTCTTAAACTCCTTCCCACAAGCAGCGCACCAAATGCCCTCTCCGGATCCTTCAGTTTGTGGACCCTGAGGACCATTCTGAGCCGCCTCATCCGACCATCCAGGAACCTCATTAGCCGCCCACTGTGTCTCAAACTCCTCATCAAAGCTACCAAAAAGCTTATCCGAGTCCTGCAAGGGCCTAATCTTCTTGACAAATCCCTCCAGATATGCCGCAAGGTCTCCAACATACTGGAAGTACTTATCGGACAGCTTATTGGGCCGCTTGATAAGCATCTGCGGGGGCGTGAAAGCATCAAACACCTCGAGGTACTGAACGTACGTTAACCTCTTCACACCAGGCAGGTTCAGGTAATCCTCGTGCGCTTTCGTAAGGTCCAAGAACTGCCCGAAGCTTTCTTCACCCGTAAACAAGTTATCGATGTCCATTCCGATCGGCTCGCCCTCATGGCGCTTGTATGCTCGCTCCAGGTTCTCCACGGGCTCATTGGGATAGCGCTTGTGAAAATCTTTGATCTCGTCTAGTTGCTTGTAGAACTCCTCGAATTGGTCGCCGGTCGAGATCGCCTGGATTTCCTTCTCGCGTGCGCCGTCCGCGTCTTTGTAGAGGTCTAGTAGTCTCTTCGACTGTTCGTCTATACGGTCCAGGAACTGAGCGATTTCATGGTCGCGGGCTAAGCGATCTTTAATCTGTGAACACGGTCATTAGCTTAAGATATAACGGGTGGAAACGAAGTGCAAACGTACGTTACGAGGCTCATCGGCAACGCGATCCGCAACCGCCTGCTCTAGCCTCTCGAGATCCTCGTGGATGAATCTCTGGTCTTCGAGAAGCATGGTGAATGTACAGTCTCAACAACGACTGTTCCCGGGGAAAATATGTGATTCTCCAAGTTTCGTAATGATATCGGCAACTCGTCGCTGTCCATGAGAAGCTTTGCGGCGAGTAGTTATCACGTGATGCGGGCGGTGGCGCTCCAGGAAAAGTCGCGGTAGAAGCTGATCGAGACCTCACATTGACTCGAGCGGCCACCACTATCGCGCGAATTGATATTATTTTTTCTCAATCTATAGTGGAACCAGTGAATCTAAAATGGCGGACGGCATTGACAGACGGGCAGATGGTATGGAACACAGCTACAGATCACAAAATACATGTATACTGATAAAGGCGCAAACTCAGACCGGATGGAGTTCAACACCTCCAAGGAGGTGACGGTTGCTCCGACCTTCGAGGACATGCACTTGAAGGAGAGCCTCCTGCGCGGTATCTACGCTTACGGTTACGAGTCTCCGTCGGCGGTGCAATCGCGAGCCATCGTGCAGATCTGCAAAGGCCGCGACACGATCGCCCAGGCGCAGTCCGGTACGGGTAAAACGGCCACCTTCTCGATCAGTATCCTGCAGGTCATCGACACTGTTGTACGCGAGAGCCAAGCGCTTGTGCTATCCCCGACCCGCGAACTTGCCACGCAGATCCAGTCCGTCATCATGGCGCTCGGCGACTACATGAACGTGCAATGCCACGCTTGTATCGGAGGCACGAATATTGGCGAGGACATCCGGAAGCTGGACTACGGACAGCACGTCGTCTCTGGTACACCCGGGCGTGTGGCTGATATGATCCGTCGGCGCCATCTGCGCACCCGTCACATCAAGATGCTGGTGCTGGACGAAGCCGACGAGCTGCTCAACCGCGGTTTCCGCGAACAGATTTACGACGTCTACCGCTACCTGCCCCCGGCCACGCAGGTGGTGGTCGTCTCTGCGACTCTCCCCTATGACGTCCTGGACATGACGACGAAGTTCATGACCGACCCCGTGCGCGTGCTGGTCAAGCGTGACGAGTTGACCTTGGAAGGCATCAAGCAGTACTTCATTGCCGTGGAGAAGGAAGAATGGAAATTCGACACCCTCTGCGATCTCTACGACACACTCACCATCACCCAGGCCGTGATCTTCTGCAACACGCGCCGCAAGGTCGACTGGCTGACCGACAAGATGCGCGAGGCCAACTTTACCGTGTCCAGCATGCACGGCGAGATGCCCCAGAAGGAACGTGACAGTATCATGCAGGACTTCCGTCAGGGTAACTCGCGAGTGCTCATCTCGACCGACGTCTGGGCTCGTGGTATCGATGTCCAACAGGTCTCCCTGGTCATCAACTATGATCTCCCCACCAACCGTGAAAACTACATCCACCGTATCGGTCGAAGCGGTCGTTTCGGAAGGAAGGGTGTCGCCATCAACTTCGTTACCAGCGATGACGTGCGGATCCTCCGTGATATCGAATTGTACTACTCCACACAGATCGATGAGATGCCTATGAACGGTAAGCCTTTCTAATCAAGTTACTCCGCCCCCAGGCCCAAATCAAGATCTAACAAAAATAAACCTGCAGTTGCCGATCTCCTTTCATAAACCTGATAACCATCCTCATCTATACCACCAATCAAATCCACTCTCAACCCACGGGCCAATTACTACTAGTACCATACCTACAATCCCAAGTGCCAGCCCTGTAATCCGCAAAAAGAGAAAGAGAGAAAGGAAAATACCAACACCAGCGTGGAGGAAAAGGGAACATACCCAAATTGGTGAGCCTCAAGAACCATTTCGTATGACATCCATGGATAATGCTCACTAATGCATTCCAGATGCACTTCAAATACACCAAAATATAAGATCGGCAGAGAATCCAACCGATAACGTCTCTTCCCTTCCCCCCTTACGTCTGTTTTCATTTTGAAAAAGGAGTTATAGCTATGCGGGATATTTATCATTCATGATTATTGAAATTGGGGATTTGCTGCCTCCATTTAGGTGATTCTATTTATTTCAAAATACTCAATTGATCACTTTGTTCTTCTGATATGATCAGTGTCTTTGAGGGTGTGGCCCTGTAGACTCCCTGGGTCCTGGCGGGAATGGCCATATCTCGGCGCTCTCCGCGAGATGAAAGGGGCTGTGAAAAAAACATGTCATCAAGCAGACCAAGCTAACTTTATTTATATATATAAAGCACCTATGATGCAGACTCTACCAATCGAGAGTGGAATCAAAGTAACATGGGTGTGTGCTGAAACCAACAAATTGTGAAGGAGGCAGGTGAGATAGATAAAGAGAAGAAAGGAGGAACAACCAAACAAATCCCACTCACACCAGCCCAATCCCGCATGTTGTCCGAACCTTCCAGATCACCCAACCCAGAAGTAAAAAAGCGAACCATGAGAAGCACCGTGTAACCCGTGTATGTGATGAGAAATAAAAAAGGAAACCATATGTGATGTGCCGTCCCTGACGCATCAATGCAAGGCAGGGGCAATTAATTATTGCTCAGTAAGCGCAAAATGGAGAACACGTATCAATCAGTAATGCCAAAATGGGAGCGCCAGCTACCTTTATCGAACGGACCACCAAGGACCAGGAAATGTGTATATGCAGAAAGGTTCGGGAAAGATTGAAAGGGCAGGAACTAAAGGCATAACAAAGAAAAGCCTGTCTTTCGAGTCCAAAAGCTCCCGGTACATCCCATAATATGCACAAATAATCAATCTTCAGATTGGGTAACAATAGGCTTCTTCCGCGGGAGTTCATTAGAAGCTCGATGTTGATCGCAGAGCACTCGTGCGGGCGAAACCGCTTGCCGATGTCGCTCGGTGTGTACGGGCCGTAGCATGAGGGTTCGCGTCGCGCTCCCGGGTCCAACTGAAAATCATTAGTCTCGAGGCTGCAAAGGCGAAGAGTGATTAAGACATACATTCTGACCAAGCAATCATCTCCCGCGGAAGCGAACAATCCTGGATTTGTAGGGTTCCAGGAGATTGCGTTTACACACCCAGCAATATGGCCCTCCAGCGTTTCTACCAGAGTCCCATTTTCTTTGTGCCACACATAAACTCGAGAGTCTTTGAAACGGTTAGCGAAGAATCATTGGCAAGGATTGGCTCAACATCACTTACCTTCGCTTCCACTGACTACGAAATTCTCTGCAGCTCCTCCAAAGGCACTCCGGATGACAAAAGAACCCTGTTTCTGTCCTTGGAAACGCCGGATAACATCGGTCGTGTCAATATCGATGAGTTGTATTTGACCTTCTGACAAGTTCACAAGCATGTGGCGGGAATCTTTACTGACTGCAACCGATGTGGGCTTGCTTTTCAACGCCAGACAATACTCCTCCTCGTGGGTGAGGAAGTTATAGACGTGGATCTTTTCTTCAACATCGGCAGCAATTAGGCGTCGCCCATCGGGCGTGATGGCACAATCCTGTACACGGAAATTACCCTGCCACATGTGCAGAGCCTGACCGCGCATACTCCAATGGCATAGGTGTGAGGCCTTATCCAGAGAGGATGTCACAAAAGAGTCCCCATCTGCAGCCCAGGCTGCAGCTGTAACCGGCTGTGAGTGGTGAGTTATAGTCAATAGGCATCGCCCGGTCTATAATAGTTAGTGCGAATAGCTCCAGGATGTAACGAGAGAAGCTTACATCCACACTCCACACCCGGGCCTTTTTATCCTGAGAGCAAGTGATGAGTTTAGAGTCATCCGGGCTCCAACAAGCATGCGCAACACCGTCATCATGTTCCATCAACTTATGCAGCACAGCAAAAGTGCTGGTATCGTAGATAATGACACTGTGGTCGCGGCCTGCCGTGACTAATTTCGTGCCATCATGAGAGAATTGACAGTACCAGACCTCATCCGAATGTTGACTTAATTCAATTCCCGGTCGAGACGGGAAGTCCGCCCGATCGCACATGTGATCAGAATATAACGACGGCGGAGTTGCCGTGTTGTGGTACAAGCACTGGTTGATCTGATTTTGCTTGACATGGTCTAGTAATATTGCGAGACGGTTGTCAGGAATCATGACTGACGGTGATATAGATTCTATGTCTACTGTTAGCCCCGGCCATGAGATTATTGGAGCTAGGGATTTCCGGATACAACGTACTTGATAATTCCGATAGCAATCTCTCACGAGAAGAACTTATCGAACCATCCCAGCCAGCTTGATCGTGAAGATGTTCCGGAGGGCACATGAGAAGACTGTCACCAGTGTCAGTCTGAAAGCCTCGAAAAAAAAAGGGGGGGTGTGGTCTTAGGCACACTCACCTAGATAGGGCATGTAGACGCCCGATATCATAATTAAGCGGCGTTAATTCATGCCGAAGAACGGTCAGAGCCGCAGAGAGATTACGAGCCTCTAGCAGTTCCAAAAACTTCTGTTGTCGCAGGTAGAAGAGCATCTCATTCATTTCCGCATTTTCCACCAAAACCAACCTCTCTTTCGTCGGGTGGTCACCGTCGCCGCTCGTCACCCGCCTCGTCCCGTCCGAATAGAACGACTGTACCAAAATTCGCTCCGCCTCCGCCCAACGTCCTGCAAGCACTGCACCTCTAAATGTAGCAACTGCCGGGCTCTCCAATTGATAACCACTCTCCTTGCTCAATAGTGAAGCTGCTCCATTATAACCCAGCTCGTACAAACTTTGAATGAGGATGCGGGTCACTTCTTCGCGGTCATGTCCGAAATAGGATGGAGGGCTGACCGAGGATTTCTGTACTCCATTCGTATGAAGGTCGCCATGAGAGGAAACGTACGAAGCCTGGCCGTTCAAGGAGTGGGAAAGACCCACCTTGTGAGACGGCGAGGCAACGGAGCCGTTAGACACGTGGGAAGGGCCATTTGCACTTGAAACTCCATCGGGACGCATATTTGTCAGGCGCCTGCGCTTGGGGGACGGCGAGTGGCCCTCTGCGGTATTTGTGCGTACGATTCTTTGTTCCGAGATGCCGGCTTCACTGGCCGTATGATCTCTGGTAAGGACTCCTGTTCCCTCGATGTTGGATTCAGATACACCAGGGGTACTCGGGCGGCGACGGCGACGGGTGGACGACAGATAGAAATTCCCAGTAGCGCCGACGGCCGGGTAGGAGCTGTCAACGGAGGGATCTGAGCGGGATGACGACAGGATGCTATCGGAAGCGGCAGCGCTTCTCGGGTAGGACGACGACGACGTAGGTTCAATGGGGATAGGAGGGTCAGGGCGGTCGGGAGCGGCGGAGGAGGGTGTATAGGCGAAGGGATGGTCTGCCAGATCGAAGGCTTGGTAGATCTGCCCTTTCACCTGGCTCTGTAGAAGAACCAGGGGAGCAGACCTATATCAGTGGCGGGTCACTGATACTGCCTCAGGTCAGACCTAGGGTTGGAGCTCGTCACAGGCCGAACGACCGTCAATTCTCGACTTTTGTGAATTCACCAAGGTGGTGTCGGCAGACAGCAGGTCGATATTGCTTTGTTACAGCTTCTGGTGGTGGGTAGAAGGTAAGAATTTCGCAGTATCGACGGGCGGAGGTCTTATCGGGCTTGGGGAGCACTTGGGGGGGTGTGAGGTAAGAGCCGGGGCGGACGGCGCCAAGTTGTGGGAGAAGTCGTGGGGTTTTGATCGTCAAGGCGGAAACGTCTAAAGATACTTGAGAAAGTATCAAAGCACGAAACCGTCAGACAGTTGGGGGGGGGGCGAGAGAAGGGTCTCAGATGTAGTGGATAAAGCGACAGAAGTTGGAGAGTCGAGGTTGAAGAACATCGGCGGCTTCTCTTATTCTAAACTCCGTGGGGCGAGGAAGTCACGACATCCATTGCTTTTGCTTTTTAAATAATTTAAATTCCAATCAAATAGATTAGGTACCGTTTGATGCATTTGTCCACCACACCTCTTATTTATCTATTGTCCACCGTGTAATCTACGCCTTTTCCCACCCCCCGTTATTTTCCAGTCCATAGTACATCCACTAGACCAGGATCCAGCAGGTGACCCTATTTAGTACTGGTGAATTACTGCCGATGTATCTGAGGTGGTAAACATAGTATTCCATGACAGTTTCCAAAAACGATCAGTATACCTGGGAGGATACATTATATTAGTAGATAGAAAGCTTCGCCCCAACTCCCTTTTCTAGTTGAAAAATATTCCTAGAGACTTTAGTAGTGATTTTAGAGCGCAAAGCCAGCGTTTCGAACATCTCCAAGAGCCTAGTAACGGAACCTAAATGCGCGAATTAATCGGATTCTATCCAGATAAGGAGACCATCATCTGAACAACAACTAACTGGTCATGAATCCAGCTGACAAGACTCCCCTTTTTTCCAAACACAAAAGTCAGAACAAGAAAAAGAAAAACAAGGTAGCTCAATCCATCATCTCCAAGACTAAAACCACCCTAAAGAGCGACCGATGTGGAAGCAAGGATGCCAAAGCCTCGATCGCAGGCTAATGAACGGGTAATCAAGGGGACCTTCGAAACGGGCCAACGATCAACGACTTACCAACGCATCACCTGCACCAGGCCCTCTCCGGGATGTTTTGACGCCAGACATGAAAAGGTAAAATGGAGAAAGAAAATCCTGTCAAATGAGTGGCTTGGTTCGCTTCCATGTGCTCTTCCTATCTGAGTAGCATTGCTGAGCTTTTCAGGTGATTGATTCTGTTGCGGGCGTGATCCACTTGGAGTATGCAAACTATAGATGTGCCGTTCAATAAATATATGTATATGCCTTGGGTTCGAAATTATACGTCCGTAGATGTTTCAACCATTCTGCCCCGCAGGATATCGCTCAAACTGCTACCCGATCCCCCAGTCCAGCGGGTTCTGCAACTGTACCTGTAGAGAAAAGAACTCCTGAAACCCACGTCAACGGTGGAGTCCAGCCATCTGGTACCACTGAAGTCGATTCTGGTGGGGACAATCAACGCAGGAGGAAACCCATTTCTCCCGTGGGGGGGAGTCATACTGTGTGAAAGCGGTCAAGTTGATTCCTATCAATCTAGGACAAGCACCGTTGGAACAGGACGTTTCCGGAACGAAGAGTGTGTCTACCATACGGAGTACTCCCGTACTACGAGTGTATCAAACAGGATCTCCGAAACAACCCGATTGTCTCCCCATACTTTACTGCTTGAGTTCCAGACGCGACGTCAGCATACTAACTAATAGTACTAGTAACCCTACAAGCCCATGGTTAATGCGCCACAGATAGGAAACTGAACCTCGGCCGACGCAATGACAGGACCATGTAACTGAAATAGAGCCAATTGTAGGAACTGTTCAACATTGTAAAAAGTATGACACCAAAAATATCATGGTCTCTGACCTCATCATGATGCTGGTTCGGATTTCCCCACATCCTGCCGGGTTATATAAATTGGGCGAACCACGCGAACAACATGAGGTTATTGAAGATCAACGTCACGCTAGAAACCGTGCACATTTACTACATATTACTGCAACTTACATATACAGTCTACAAAGCTACCTGAAACGTCACGATGGGCTGTGATTGCGGAAATACCTGCGGCTGCTCCGGCCCCCAGAGTTGCACTTGTGGCCAGTCCTGCCAGTGCAAGAACTGCGGAGTAAGTATAACTCTAGGTTATCCGATGTTATAGTTACATCACTAATTCTTTGTAAAGAAGTAATTGACTCGCCCGCATGTGATTAAGACGAGGAATCCGACCAAGCTTATGATGTTGAACGAAGGTGATGGAGACGAATTGGAGTACTGCCTAGGCGTGATTTTGAACATGATGTTGGATACTACTTAATACAACTCTCTTTAAACAGTCTACTATATTATGTCCCGTATATATACATATAACTCTAGAATTTGTACAATCCCAAAGCGCCCCATCTATGCGGAGTTCCTCTGCTCCAGTGCCGCTTGAGATGCTTTTAGAGCGCCCGTAATGCTGAAGCATACAAATGGCGATAACACGTACATCGCCTGCACTGATTAGCAAGAACCCTGAGGCGACCCGCACATGTCCTGACTTACAGTCAACGATTTGGCAATAGCCATCTTTTCCAGCTCCGAAATCTGAGCCAACTCGGCCAATCCGGATATCACCAACGCCGGAGGTCCAGCCGGCATGAGCATCAAACTGAACCAGAGAATAGGATCAGTTAACACGATATTAGTCCTCTTAGCCAAGCCATATATCAGGGAGATGCTGAGTCTATATATCATTCGTTAGCATCTCGCAGTCATGCGACCCTCCCAGAGAACCTACGCAGGCCAGATCACCAAACGAACGAGAAAGATCGTCCCAATCGCCTTCAGAGGCATTCGCCCTGAATCGCCACTCGTTTTCATCTTCTCAAAGCTGACACCCAGCTTACACCCCACTACAAAGATCTGGAATGTCGTGAACAACTTGCCAATATTCTTGACACTCGACGTCAGCCAAGCGTTGAAGATCCCGCCGTCCTCGTATTTATTGAAGAACGCTTTATGCAACTGCGGCACAAGACCCAAAACCACACCGATAACGGTACAGCCGATCGCCACATCGGCAAAGGGGGACTCAAACGGGGCCATAAGTCTCTGTCGGATGCGCTTGGGTAACATGGATGAAATGCGCCGGGTTCCGTGCCGAATACTGCTAGAAATGTTGCGGCGGGCTTTTTGCGCTCGCTGGGGAAGAAGGGATGTCTCCTCGTCGACGTGGTCGTGTTCAGTGGTGCCAATTTGTGTCTCAGGATCTGTGTCTGCTTCTTGATTCTCTGTATCGGTGGACTCGTTGCCGTCCTGGAGTAGCTTGGGACCAACGACGTAACCGATCGTTTTACTAACCACAGCGCAGAGAAGAAAGTAGCTCTGGGCACGAGAAATAGCCTCGGACTCGGTGTCGCCGTCTCTAATAATCGGTTTTAGACTGCCCACGCTTTCCAGCGATTGCAGCAAGAGGAGCGGCAGCGATGTCGTGTTGTTGAATGCGCAGGCCGGCGTCACCCAGGGCGGGAGCTTCAATCCTTTGGAGACGAAATATGCTAGGCCGATCGAGGCACAGGTATAAAGAATGGACCAAACTGGCAATGGAGAGGTTATTATCAATTTCCGAGATGGGATTGGGGGAGCAGTACTGAGAACGGGGATGTAGTTCAACGCATTTCCTAATTGCAGCTGTTCGCCTAGATTGATGATGATTAAAGCTGGGAGAAACAGCTTCACGCCTAGCCCAGCCATATCATTGATGGAGGGCTCTTGAATTAACCGTAGCCTTTGCGCTGCGACCCCGTAGCTCATGGTCAGCAGAACGGAGACGCAGGCTTGTAAGGCGCCCACCAACGGCACGACGGTACCATCATCAACCATGATGAGTCCTCAGGTTAGAGTTAACGGATCAGTTGAAATTGAATCCAAATTTTCCTGAAAAGAAACTAATTAGTTTTTGAGATTATTTAATGTTTCTGTCTTCTATGGCGTCATGGTGGCGTAACCCAGCGGAACAAGGACTCCAGAAGTGGGCCATACGCTGAAGATGCTGAAGCTGCTGTCTAGACCATCCTGAAGACTTTCCAGGTTGGTTCCTGGATCTATTAGTAAGGGCTACTATCTCTCCGGGCTCACGAGACCGGTTTCCATATTTAGCGATAAGGTACTGCACGATTGATGGGCTTATAACTACATGCATACTAGTCAATATCATTATCATGAGACGAGACCGGATATAGTCAACACAGTAAATTCCACTCGCCAGAACATTGACCGGATCGTTTTTTTCAATAAACCTCTGGGATGAATGCAGCCGGAACAACAATCGGGGCCAGCAGTCTGAATCCACAAATAGCTCCGCAAAACAGGGCCACTCCAGCGAGGAACACAGTGAGAAGACCTAGCTGACCCAGAGTCTCTACACCGCACCATGCCGGTTGGGATACCCTGCGTTTCCCCAAACGCGTTGTGCGACTGTAAAACGGTACGTATTTGAATTCGAAGAAGCTTTCGCCCCCCAGTCCATCTTTCTCGTCCATAATGAGGCTATAATAGAGCTTGCGACGTAACTAGATATGGTCAATACATGGGTGAATGGGGTCATTTCTGGGACACTTCAACAAACAGAGGATAGTCAATACAAAGCCTACCTTAATGAAAGCGTGATCGAGGATCGGCAACGCTCGAAGTCCATAGCACGCGGCCATAACCATTATACACTGTCCATACACGAGTGCTTGGTAGTATAAAGAGGGACGCGGAAGGTCAAGTCTATCCGATAGCTCGTCACCGTTGAGTTTTCTCGCCATAGCCTCAAGGTATTCCTTCGACGCATATGTAGGGGCTGTGTTTTCAAGACCAATAATGATGTTCTGCGCCAGTATCCTACCGGTATCGGTTGGGTCTAACTCTGACACTGAGATCGACTCCATCATCGCTCGTGCCCGAGCTGTTGTCTCAAAGCACTCGGTTGGTGTACCCATGTAATACGCGACAAGTCTCCAAAGGGCAATATAATCGTCAATTTCCTGGTTCCTCAAAAAGATACCTTGTCGTGGAAGCCCAAGGAAGACTACGCTCGTTGAGAACGTATGGATAGTTCCAATGCAATCCAGGTCGTTAATAGGAATCCCGTATTTCTTGATATCGTAGTATTCGGGTCTGTTTTTGACAAGGCTCAGCACCCTACGACGGACCGATCCATGTAACAACCGGACTCGGACCGAGGAGATATGACCTTTACCTCCAGGCTTTATCGAGTCCAATGATAGGGACACCTGGAGAATGTGTTGCAGAGTTTCCAGCAGCCTGCGCCGTACAACGTCCGCCGAGAAACCTCCAGTCCGGGCTAAGGTCTCAACAACTCGGGGAGAACCCCTACGCTAGCATGTCAGCCCTAACTCACATATTCCATTTTCGGGAGACGAACATGCCACCGAGGAGGCTTTGAAAGCCGAGCTATGAACTCCATAAGTGGGACTACGCGCTAGAACAGTTGAACGATGTACCGACTTACTACATTGAGAATCGGTGTTCCATAGCGGAAGAACACTTCTTGACCCCGTTTGATTTGCTCCCAGTCGACCCAGTCCGGGACGGTGTTGATCTCAGACCACAGTTCGTCGAGCTTTGGATCGTCTTTTGCGTGCTGCTCCAACAGAGAGTACAGGTCTCTCTTCGGTGTTCGAGCGTCGGAGCGCCCTGTGCTCTTTGCACGGGCACTACCTGGGGGCGAGATCTCATCCAGGCGATCTAGGCACTCATCTACAAGTTTGTCATAGTTGAGCATGGTGGAGTGCAACTGCTCCACTGGAGAGTGAAGGCCGTCGATCCATTCGAAAGTATAGCCCCAGCATTTGTAAATTTTTGCATTCGTGCTCTTCTGTTGGGCCATGTTGATTATATCCAGTAACGATGAGATGGTGCTAAACAAACCTCGCGAAGCACACAACATGTATCAAATTCGATGGCAACTCTTAGGTATATATGGGTAGACCAGTTACACCTGCCACAGCCTGCATTTCGGTCTGTTTATAGAGGGGGGTGTACCTACTTTATAAATAAGTGACACCATGAGGTAGTTAGCGGTCATCCCTGAATGAGTATCCTTAATCATGATCTCTAATGCAAGCCTCGGATGCTGCACTTCCCCGCACATCCATGCTCGATGGCGGCCCTATCCCATTACTCGCTCAACCGCCTTCACGTGTCCAGGTAAATTAAGACGTTGAGCCACAAGATAGCCGATGTTGATCCATGAACCCTCGATCCGCTTGCCGACACTTTGTTTGTCTAGCAGAAAGCTTTACAAGGGACATGCATGATGTGTTACAGGTTGGCCAGTACAGATCTGTGGATCACAAATCATCTCTGTACTTAAACGTTGTAGCCATATTAGCACTCGGAAGTTGAGGTTTCCGATTTATAGCTGGCCTCCAGATCAAGTTAGTTACTGTATACCGTCCTTTAGTCCGTGAAGTCGTCAGCATAAATTCTACGTCCCGTGCATAGTTTCTGGGCGGCCAAAAGAATACCCACAGAGAAACTATGACCAACAACTTAAGTTCCGTCCGCTTGATTCATACTCGAGCCCGTGTCGGTGCATATGACCAGTCCGTGAAGGAACAGTAAACCCAGTGAGTACTCCATAACCTATCCATTTATGGAGCCTAGACACGGGATGCTGAGGAACCCTTCACAGCGCCTCATCGATTGATTCGACGGAGCGAGCGAAGTTGGGCGATCGTCAAATAAATCTCACCCTTCCATCAGGCACTTGCATGTAACGCCACAGCACCGCCGAATGTTAGGCTTAGGCGTGCGTCGGTTGAAAACACGGCCCTCCTTGCTGGATCTGATAGAGGCCAGTTGCAGTAGTGGTGGTGGGAGTGACCAACCATTGTTGTTATCGTCGTCATCACCGCCCACGGCCATCGACCAACTGCCACCGCTCCCCGACTCACCCACTTCTTCCCCGTCTTCCAGCTCCAGCTCCAGCTCCAGTTCCTTCCCGATCCCTACCACCACCTTCAATCCTTCTCCCTCCTCCTCATCTGTCCACCCTCCGGCTATTCGCATCATGGCCCCCTCCGGAAAGGGCCCTCAAGATGAGGCCCACCATGGCTCCGTCTTCTCCGTCTCCGGTCCCGTCGTCGTGGCCGAGAACATGATCGGCTGTGCCATGTACGAATTGGTATGTTGTCCACCCCGCCATCCGCATGAACCCTAGTCTCCCTTTTGCGCTGGGTTTTACTTCCCTCGTCGGGGTTGGCTTTCGGTTTTGCTAAGTTGTCCCGTGAATCCAGTGTCGTGTCGGGAAAGATCAGCTCGTCGGTGAAGTTATCCGTCTCGATGGTGATAAGGCCACCATTCAGGTCTACGAGGAAACTGGTACGCTTTCGCATTCATTTTGCGACCCACTCGGATTGACAGTCTAACATCGTTCCAACCCCGCAGATGGTGTGACGGTCGGCGACCCTGTCGAGAGGACGGGTAAGCCCCTAGCGGTGGAACTGGGTCCTGGTTTGATGGAAACGATCTACGATGGTATCCAACGCCCCCTGAAAGCGATCTACCACCAGCCAAAGGAATCTATATCCCCCGTGGTATTACCGTGAACGCGCTGGATCGCGAGAAGAAATGGGACTTCACGCCCGGTCAACATAAGGTGGGCGACCACATCACGGGAGGTGACGTCTGGGGATCCGTGTTCGAGAACAGCTTGATGAGCGACCATAAGATCCTTCTCCCGCCCCGCGCTCGGGGTACTATTACCCGTATCGCAGAGGCTGGAAGCTACACAGTCGAGGAGAAGCTTTTGGAGATCGAATTTGACGGCAAGAAGGCCGAGTTTGGTATGATGCAGACCTGGCCCGTTCGTGTGCCCCGACCTGTCAATGAGAAGGTTCCATCCGACGCACCCTTCATCGTCGGCCAGAGAGTGCTGGACTCTCTGTTCCCTAGTGTGCAGGGTGGTACTGTCTGTATTCCGGGTGCTTTTGGATGTGGTAAGACGGTCATTTCCCAGTCTGTGTCCAAGTTCTCCAACAGTGATATCATCGTCTACGTTGGCTGTGGTGAGCGTGGTAACGAGATGGCTGAAGTGTTGATGGACTTCCCCGAGGTATGCGATTCCACCTCACCTGCTCCCGCCATGATTTATTCGGTGCTGATGTGATCGTCACCTTTAAAGCTTTCGATCGAGATCGATGGTCGCAAAGAGCCTATTATGAAGCGTACGTGTCTTATCGCCAATACATCCAACATGCCTGTCGCCGCGCGTGAGGCCTCCATTTACACCGGTATCACCATTGCGGAGTACTTCCGTGACCAGGGTAAGAACGTGGCTATGATGGCCGATTCCAGTTCTCGTTGGGCCGAGGCGCTTCGTGAACTTTCCGGTCGTCTGGGAGAGATGCCTGCAGACCAGGGTTTCCCCGCCTACCTGGGTGCCAAGCTCGCTTCCTTCTACGAACGTGCTGGAAAGAGTGTTGCTCTGGGAAGCCCCGAGAGAGTTGGCAGTGTCAGTATCGTCGGTGCCGTCAGTCCTCCTGGTGGTGATTTCTCAGACCCTGTCACTACTAGCACCCTCGGTATCGTCCAGGTGTTCTGGGGTCTTGACAAGAAGCTGGCCCAGCGAAAACATTTCCCTTCCGTCAACACTTCGATGTCCTACAGCAAGTATACGACCGTCTTGGACAAGTTCTACGAGAAGGACTACCCCGAGTTCCCCCGCCTTCGTGACCAGATTCGTGAGCTGTTGACCAAGTCCGAAGAACTGGACCAGGTCGTGCAGTTGGTCGGTAAGGCCGCCCTGGGTGATTCGGACAAGATCGCATTGGATGTGGCTGCCATGGTGAAGGATGATTTCCTTCAGCAAAACGGATACAGTGACTACGATCAGTTCTGCCCTCTGTGGAAGACAGAATATATGATGAAGGCATTCATGGGCTACCACGATGAAGCGCAGAAGGCTATTGCTCAGGGTCAAAACTGGTCCAAGGTTCGCGAAGCCACTGCCGACATCCAGGCTGCCCTGCGGAGCATGAAGTTCGAGGTTCCGGAGAACCAACAAGAGGTCTCAGAGAAGGTTCGTAGTCATCTCCCTTGTTCTACCCACATTGGTACTAACTCAGTGACTGCAGTACGAGAAGGTTCTTCAGGCCATGTCAGAGCGATTCGCGTCGGTGTCGGATGAGTAAATGGATGTAGGTGGACATAGAGAGGACGTTGACAGACGGGCCGTATTGTTCGGTTGCCTGTAGCATAACAAATTCCCATGTTCTGTAGTTCGTGCAGTTTATTTCTGTTTTAGCTTTTGTGAGAAATTCATCAGCCACTGAATCAATTGCCTGATCGTAACCGTTGTTCCTTTCCATCACTTAGGCAGCATTGTTTGGCCGCTTTTGGGTGGCCAAAGGCACATGACGCGGCCTTCTCATTGGGTATCGTGACCTCTTTTTGACCTCTGCTTTCTGCGCTGTCATAACCCTGACAATCGGGACAATTTTGATTGAAAAGCCACTCATAAAGCTCACTTCGAACGCCAGAAATTTGCTGTCCCTGACCAAACGTGGGGTGGTTGGGTATACACAACTGGACTTCGGTTCTTATCGCTGGTTATCGTTGGATTTATTGAATTCTGGACCGCAAGCGAAAGTCAACCACTTGGCCGCTCGACCTTCCCGCTCTCTCTTCTTCCCACTTCCACCTCCGCAAGTCGGATAATAGTCTACCTGCCCGATATATTCATTCTTCTCTGTTCTCCTCCTTTTTTTCACTCTCTAGGTTTTTCTCTTCCTTTGGAGCGACTGTCTCTTGCCTTCGCTGCCAGCCATGGCAAGCCCGACCTCGTGCGCAGCCCCCTGGCCCCTCGTGCTCTATATCCGACGGTATGGATTGACTGACGGGTGGAAACAGAATAAATGTCAACGATCCCAACTTGATCTCGCTGGTTAATAAGCTCCAGGATGTCTTCGCGACAGTCGGAGTACGTATTATCAAGCTCTCAGGACGCTTCGGTTCTTTCAACCCCTCGCCGCGACTGACACCGCCTGTTCTGTTTAGGTTCACAACCCCATCGACTTGCCTCAGATTGCTGTCGTCGGTTCACAGTCCAGTGGTAAGAGTTCGGTGTTAGAGAATATTGTCGGACGGGATTTGTAAGTGACTACTACTGTGCTGGTGGGAATTCGACGCAGGTGACTGACGGCTTCACTTCATCTTAGCCTCCCCCGTGGGTCCGGAATTGTCACTCGGAGACCCCTCATTCTTCAGCTTATCAACAAACCTGCAACTCAATCGAATGGCGTGAAGGAGGAGAAATTGGATACGACGGATAGCGCCGCCAATCTGGATGAGTATGGAGAGTTCCTGCACATTCCCGGCCAGAAGTTCTACGATTTCAACAAGATTCGCGAGGAAATTGTGCGCGAAACGGAGTCGAAGGTCGGTCGCAATGCCGGTATCTCCCCTGCGCCTATCAATCTCCGCATCTACTCGCCCAACGTCCTGACTCTCACACTGGTCGACTTGCCCGGTTTGACTAAGGTCCCCGTCGGTGACCAGCCCAAGGACATTGAAAAGCAAATCAGGGATATGGTTCTGAAGTACATCAGCAAACCGAACGCGATCATCCTTGCGGTCACCGCGGCCAACCAAGATCTTGCCAACTCCGATGGTTTGAAGCTGGCACGGGAAGTCGACCCGGAGGGTCAGCGTACAATTGGTGTCTTGACCAAGGTCGACCTGATGGACGAGGGAACCGACGTCGTGGATATTCTTGCGGGCAGGATTATCCCGTTGCGCCTGGGTTATGTGCCTGTGGTCAACCGTGGCCAACGTGATATTGAGAACAAGAGACCCATCTCGTACGCTCTGGAGCATGAGAAGAACTTCTTCGAGAGCCACAAGGCCTATCGGAACAAGTCTTCGTACTGCGGCACGCCGTATCTGGCACGGAAGCTGAACTTGGTACGTTCACCCGGTAGGGATGGGGGCGATCCAGCTTGCTAACTCTTCGTAGATCCTCATGATGCACATCAAACAAACCCTGCCCGATATCAAAGCGCGGATTTCGTCCTCCCTTCAGAAGTACTCCGCCGAACTTTCGCAGCTGGGAGACTCGATGCTCGGTAATAGCGCTAACATCATCCTGAACATCATCACAGAGTTCAGCAATGAGTATCGCACGGTGCTGGAGGGTAACAACCAGGAGCTGTCCAGCATTGAGTTGTCGGGCGGTGCTCGTATCAGCTTCGTGTTCCACGAACTTTACTCGAACGGTATCAAGGCGGTGGATCCTTTCGACCAGGTGAAGGATATTGATATCCGGACGATCCTCTACAACTCTTCCGGCTCATCGCCTGCGCTTTTCGTTGGAACCACCGCCTTTGAGTTGATCGTCAAGCAGCAAATCAAGAGGCTCGAGGACCCCAGCACAAAGTGTATCTCCTTGGTCTACGACGAACTGGTCCGCATCCTGGGACAGCTCCTGAACAAGCAGTTGTTCCGCAGGTATCCCATGCTGAAGGAGAAATTCCATGCCGTGGTCATCAGCTTCTTCAAGAAGTGCATGGAGCCGACCAACAAGATTGTTCACGACCTGATCAACATGGAGGCGTGCTACATCAACACCGGTCACCCTGATTTCCTGAACGGACACCGCGTACGTATACTATTTGACTTTGATTACGTGCACTAGTTCTTAGATACTGACTTGAGCAGGCCATGACTATTGTGAATGAGCGCCAAGCCGGCAGTAAGCTACCCAGGTTGACCCGAAGACGGGCAAGCCTCTTCCTCCCCGGGCGAACAGTCCGTCGGTCGATCTCGGCAATACGGAAAGCAGCGGTGGCTCTGGCTTCTTCGGCAGCTTCTGGGCTTCGAAGAACAAGAAGAAGATGGCGGCCATGGAGCCCCCACCGCCAACCCTCAAGGCGTCGGCCTCCTTGTCCGAGCGCGAGAGCACCGAAGTTGAAGTTATCAGTAGGTGTAGTGTCTGATGTACAGGGGAACGAGTACTAATGATGAGCAGAACTTCTTATCACGTCTTACTTTAACATCGTGAAGCGGACCATGATCGACATGGTCCCGAAGGCCATTATGTACATGCTTGTCCAGTATGTGTCTCCGTGCCCTATCCAAGGTCCCTCCGACTAATGTCTTCTAGATTCACCAAGGATGAGATGCAGCGCGAACTCCTCGAGAACATGTACCGCAACAGCGAACTGGACGAGCTCCTCAAGGAAAGCGACTACACGGTGCGGAGGCGCAAGGAGTGCCAACAGATGGTGGAGAGTCTGTCCCGCGCCAGCGAGATTGTCAGCCAAGTCCAGTAATCTTCTCGAATGGTGTCCGATGTGTTCGAGAATCCTGGTTTTAGATACGATTTCAGTCTTTCGTCGGTCTCGCTTCAGCTGGTTCGCCTTTTGGGAGGGATTCCTTTGTCGTTGCTCGCAGCTATGCCCCCATGCCTTATGCTATATGTCCTGATACGAGCGTTTTTGCTACGGAGCCCATTCTCGGATGTCAAGTGGACAAGATTCATCTCACGAATTTGTATTGCCTAATGATTGTTGTTCGTTCTTAGAATACAGAGCAGTTTAGTCTAGTGGGTTGTACGGTATATATATATACAGTTCTACTAAAATCGAATAGAGCTTTCCTGAGGTATCCGACCCTCCTAACCTCCCTCCTACCATAGCTTACCTATGTACATACATACATACCATCGGTATAGAAGAATCTAACCCCTGCCCTGGTGCCGATAAGAATAATACCACCCCTCCCTCCCCAAATCCTCCCTGACCCGATAATTCTCCTCCGCATCGCGAATCAACCCCATATCAACATCCACCACGCAAACGCCTTCCTCCCACCCCAAAGACCCCACGACCCCCACCCCCGGCATCGTCACCCTGGACAATCCCAAAAACCCATCCTCCTCCGTCTCCCCCGCTGCATTCGCAAACACAACCCCACACGTATTCTCAAAACACCTCGCCGTCAGCACCGACTCTAGAAACAGCTTCTCGCAGTCGGGATTCCTCGCCCGGAGCGCAGTTGAGGCATCGTATTTCGTCCCTGTCAAGGTCCATCATTAGCCCAACCACACTTCCACCTCCAAACAAACGGACAACCGACAACCCCAATACCCAAAGAAACAGAAAGGGGGGAGGGAGCGAGCGAGCGAGAGAGAGAGAGAGAGAACGAGAGAGAGAGAACATACAAAACGTAGGAACAACAATCACCTCCGCCCCAGCCGCAATCAACTCCCTGAACGCCTCCGGGAAGGCCAAGTCCCAACAGATGAGCAGCCCGACCTTGCCGATGGGGGTACCGAAGACCACGTGCGGATCCGACGCCGAAGAAGTCAGGTAGGGGCGTTCTGGGTGCCAGATGTTCTTTTTCCGGTAGGAGGCGAGGATGCTGCCATCGTTGGAGATGAAGTAGGCTGTGTTGTAGAGGATGGGGCCTGTGGAAACGGTATTCGTACTGGTACTGGTACTGGTGAGGGAGGATTTTTCGACGATTGTGCCGGGGACGATGCAGATGTTGAGGTCCTTGGCGAGGGCTTGGTAGGATTGAAGGTATTTGGTGGTGGTTTGGGGGTCGGTTTGGGGCAGGTAGAGCGGGTTTGTCGGGGAGAAGGCGTTTAGATGGTATCTTTTGTTTTGGGAGGGAGGTTATGTTAGTTTGGTGGGTTGGTTTAGAGGGGGGTTGTTCGATAAATTGAGTGTGGGGGGGGGGGGGGGGATGTACTCTGGGAGAACGGCTAGTTTGGCGCCTTGGGAGGCAGCTTCGCGGATGTAGCTGCATGCCTTTTGGTGGTTCTCTTCCATAGCCAGGTCCTTTGAAGTTTAGTTATAGGGTTTCTGTTCTTGGTGACGGCGGGGTTCGGTACTTTGATGTGCCATTGGATTACGGCTATGCGGTGGATTGGAGCCATTTTGGTGGATTGGTGATTGGTGTGACGATTAGCGTCTTGCGATGAGGAATCTTGAAGGAGGAGGTGACGATGACAACGAAAATGAAGATGAAGAAGCAGCAGCAGCAGCAGCAGCAGCAACAGAAGAGGTAGTTGATATAAGTTGGGGTCATGATGGAGGGATCTGGACCGGTGGGGTTAGTTGGAGGAGGTTCTCCGAGCAAGTTGGGGTATATCAACCCTATGTTGACTTCATGTATTTTCGCCGTATATAGGGAACCCAGGGAGTTACTACTTGCATCGTCTGTCCCGTCACTTCTTCAATTTCATTATAGAGCTATAATATGTATCTATGATATATGTGGATCAAATTGTTGCCCGTTGCCCTAGTCCGTTTTAACAAAGAAGAGGGCATATATAACAACAGGATGTAGAAGCTTAATGGTGCAACATATCACTAACGGCAGACTGTATAAATAACCCCCTAAGGCCCTAGTATTTTCTATTCACTAGAATCCTTAATCTTCTCTCTCCGCTTGCAGTTCCATCCGCCTCAGTCCAGCGCAATGTATCAGACGCTGATCCTCATAGTCTTGTACCTCTCAGCCCTGGCCGCTGCTCAACCACCGGCAAATCTACAACCAGCACAAGTTGAAACCATAAATCTGCACCGCAGTTGCTCAACCTTATTTATCGAGTACCCATTACGACAGCTGCCAGGTGCCTTTGCGGGTTGGCCTGACAAAAGGGACTCGTCGACCCCGATCGGATCTGCAAGGCGCGCTACTCGACCACCGCCACCGGAGCCATTCCTGGTGGGCAATTGCAGCACTCAGGGTGGCCAGTTCCGGATGACAAATCTGAGCTTGAACAATTGTCTCGGGTGGCGAGACGAGGGTAGGGGTAGTTTGACTGCGGAGAGCAGGTACTATATCTCTTTTATTTTGTGAGCGGTGGCATTGGCTAATACGTCCCTAGGGGATTCGGGTTCGAAAGGGGCGGATGCCGTGACTGTACCTATGCATATGACAGTCATGGATTTTCGGGTTTTCTTGTTTTCCAACTTGGCTGTAGATGCCGTCATTCTTCGCCGCCAGGATATAGGGAGTTCACGACGCGTAAGTTACTCTGTCTCACTGCTTGGACGGATTCCTGTGCTGAAAGACCATATAGCAGGAGTGATAACGTATGATAACGCATCTGGTCGTCTCCGCTGCCATGGTTACTTTGGGACCTGAAGGGTAGTCAGGGGTGGTCAGTCTGTATATTATTTCGGGTTAGGTTTCACGAAGCCGGTGGTATTTTGGATTGCTTTACTCTGGGGTACTAGCTATCCCTGACATTTAAGTCTCGTTTGTATTTGAGATTATTGACTTATTTCGGTTGGTAGTTCCTTGTTGTGTTATATTTGAAGCTCTTCATCAAGCTATAGCGCGAGTCATGTTGCCATGGAAGTGTGGCTTTGGGCAAGGAAAGCCCAAGAGCGACGGTGTGTACATAGCGTCAACTCCTATTTCCCTCTGTGTTATCTGAGGCAGGTGTACTCCGTAGACCGTGCCCGTCGATGGTCTAGAATAGGCTCCGATCTCGCCTTTAACCTGTCGTGTGAAGATGATAGATGCCTGAATCACGGATTCGCGCTCTGGTCGGATGTTGGTCGTTTCACCTGGATAACCACACCGAGTCTTATCAGAGTTGACTCATATCTATCAAAAGTCGGTATGCACATGAACACTTAGGTGTGTAGGGCAAAAAGTACTATTGTTGACCGTTCCATCTGTCCCTGCACGAATATGATTATTTGATGCCCACTATTCTGAAACAGAATCGGGGCAATGCACGGACTCCAGTCTAGATGGTGAGTTGTTCATGTAATGAGGAAGGTGGTTGTGATGAGTCAAGAACTCATTTTCTGCTCGCCATTTCATCTGAGCCCAGCAGGTGACTTGCTGGTCCTTGAAGGAATGGTGGCCTCAGGCTACCATGTCCTTTCAATTGGTCGCAAACGAATGGCCACATAGAATTGAGGAATTCAATAGCAAGAGAAACGCATCGTTCCAAGTAGGAAGCCTTCGACTACTATATTCAAAATTAGTCCCTAGCTGTGACTGTATTAGCTGTGATTGTCGTGGTGTTTAGCATGGACATGCGAATTCCTTGAAAAATGACATCACAGATCGTCAAACCGCATTGTTCTTGTCAGAGAAGAAATGATTAATATCTCGGGGAATGCCATAGGGTAATCTGGAATACCCAAGAAGCAAAGTGCGCCCTATCAGACCGTCAACGAGGACGCCCAGTGACCCACCGACAAGCCTCGGGATCCGCCGCCGAGACGAACGGGCATGTGAGACTGAAGCTCGATCCACCGCTCACACATGACCGTTATCACCACATCGCAGACCTTCAACAACATCGTAGCCATGGCGCCCTTAACTGCCGCGGAGATTGTGAAGCACCCCGCGTATGACTCGGTGGCGTGGAATCTCTCTCCCACCACCTCAGGAACCTGTCCAGTGGCGCAAAACAGACGCGGCGGCCCCCTGAACCTGTACTATGAGATCCACGGCACTGGACCTGCAAAGCTCGTCGTACGTTCGCCGCTCCTTGTACATTCCTCCCCTTTTCTGCACGCAGCACTAAAGATGAACCATAGTGGATCATGGGGCTGAACGCCTCACACGATGATTGGAAGCGGCAGACCAAGTATTTCGGCCACCAGAACGCCTCCAAATACACATGTTTGGTCTTTGACAATCGCGGCGTCGGCCGCTCCGACAAGCCAGTGAATTACTACTCCACGTCGGAGATGGCACAAGATGCCGTCGATCTCCTGAGTCACCTGGGCTGGATCGACCTCTCGGCCCCCGCCACCCGATCGATCCATGTCATCGGCGCCAGTATGGGCGGCATGATCTCCCAGGAAGTCGGCATGCTCATTCCCGACCGTCTGGCTAGTCTTACGCTATGCTGTACGGCCCCGCGACTCGTCCGCACCGCCCCGTTCCTGGAGAACCTCCGCGAGCGCGCGAGCATGTTCATCCCCCGACATGTGGACGTCGAGTTGGCGCGCTTGGGCTACACGCTCTTCGGAGGGGATTTCCTCGACCAGCCGGATACGGAGAACGAGGATCCGAAGAAGAACTTCCCGACCCGGCGCGAGCGGTTCGCGGCGGGCCAGTTGAGGAAGCGGGAGGATCCCGATCGTTTTACGAAGAAGGGCTTCCTGATGCAGATTGTGGCGTGCTACTTTCATCAGAAGTCTCCGCAGCAGCTGAAGGCGCTGGGGGATGCTGTTGGGCGGGAGCGCATTGCTGTTCTGCATGGCACGGAAGACCGCATGCTTACGTTCCGTCATGGGGAAATCTTACATGAGGAGATTGGGAAAGGGATCCTGTGGAAGGTGTACGAGGGCAGTGGCCATGTGTTGATGTGGGAGAATGAAGATGAGGTGAATCAGCTGTTGGCGGAGCTGGTCGAAAGGACTTCCGGATCTGGAACGAATCCTTAGATGTCTGATCATGCTTTATTAATTTATTTGTATACCAACTCTATCCATCCGTATGTACATAAATGCGTGAGCAACCAGAGCGGGATGGGTTAGAAAGCCAAAAGAAAAACAAGAAAAGAAAAGAAAAGAAACAATAAGCAAACATGCACGTTTACCTAATACGGTCTGCAAAGCTGACAGGGCAATTGGAATGTGACCAACCATTCAGCCGCCGATATCATTTGCATTGAACACGAGCTCCAATCAACACCCTGCACATGAAACCAGCGCGTATATAAACATCAGCCTAACCACCATGAAACCCATAATCTAGTTTTCTCTTTTCACCGCCGCCTTTTCTATGACCAACCCTCACCTCCCCCAACATTCCAGCATGTCCAGCGAAAACCACACCCTCTCAGAAGGGCAATACCACCGAGGCGGCGCAGACGACCTGCGCTCGCCATGTCCAATCCTCAACTCCCTCGCCAACCACGGCTACATCGCGCGAGACGGCCGGAACATCACCGGGAGCCAGCTAAAGGCAGGCCTGGAGCACATCGGACTCGGCTTCGACACCGCAGGCGGGCTCGTGAAGATCGCCTTCCAAGACCATGTTGACCCACCCGCAGGTAGCCCACGTACGACAGCCAATTTCGGGCTGCGCGACGCCGGCCAAGTCAACGAAGACGGGGACCCTGTGCTCAACCTCGACCAACTGGGGCGTCCGCACGCCATCGAGCACGACGTTTCCGTCACACGACAGGACCGCGCTTTGGGCGATTACGTCCACCTCAAACCGGACCTGTATCAGCAACTGCTCGCTTCTTCAGGCAACGGGACGTCCTTTTCTATCTCGGATATTGGGAAACTTCGCAAAAAACGGTTCGAGCAGTCGAAGACGGATAACCCGGAGCTTGATCTGGACAAGCGGATGCATTATATCGCGTGCGCGGAGGTCGGCGGCATCATGGGTGTCTTCGGGAAGGGGCTCTACCATGTTCCCAAGGAGTATATCCAGGCGATCTTTGGCGAGGAGCGGTTACCGTTTGACGAGGGATGGCGGCCGCGTTGGACGAAGTTGTATCTACCGGAGCTGGCGCCGTGACTTTGGCTATTTCGCATTATGCATGGCCGTTCTAGGCGGGGTTTGCTATGGCTGGGTGGTGTCACTGGGCGGGGTTTTGCTATTGCTGTTTTTATATGGCATTGAGTACTATGGGACTTCGGTCCCTTCTGATTTTGGGGCGGTCATCTTTGATGGTTCATCTGTGGCTCTATATCAATGTTTAGCGACAGGGTTTATAGATGTGGGTTTCTGCAGGAATTTATTACATCATTAGTATGATAGACACTCAGACTAGGATATGCAAGTTATTGGAATGGATGCGTACATACCTGGTACAGGTGAAGTATCACATTTATATAATGCAAACCCGGAAATAGATTTCCCTACGATACCAGCGCCTATCAGCGATGCTGTGTGAGACATGTGTCAGTTGCGTAGAACCGCGGATCCTACTAGGAGTACGTAGATGTCGGCTGAGCAGGGATGGTGGAGGACCAACGTTCGAGGCCCCTTGGCAAGTTTACATTCGATGGAACCGGATTTCTTTGTCTCGCCTCAGCTGTTCTTTCTTTTCTTCGTCTCAAGAGTGTGAAAGGGCGACCAGATAAATAAATATATATATATGTATGTATGTATAATTCCAGCTAAACGCCTGAGATACAGGATTAGGCATCCTAGTAAGACCCTACTAGGAGGCCCGACATAAAGTTCAGGATAGCGTGGGAAGAGAAGCGTTAAGCTAGTCATGTAGTACTAGTAGTTCACTATGTATATCACATTCCCAAACAAGACCAGTGGGTCTTCTCCGGATTCTTCTGGAAGATAGCTTCCGACGGGATTCGAGGGAAAATAATAAAAATTACATATATTCTCAGATAGGTACTACTACTGTCTAAGTATTACGACTGCGGAGTACGGTACTGGGGTCCTCCGTTCTACCACTAGTGAGGCAATACTACTAGTAGTACTACTAGTAGTAGTATTGACGTGGCTTGCCCACCCACACAGCCAATGATTGTGAATCAAATGAGATCCAATTGTGGCGTATACAAGAAGGTGAATAACGGGGAATTTGAAACGTGTGTCCCTCTACTAGCTTCCATTGGATGACCGGTAGGGTGACAGGTCTGAAGATAAGGATCAGATAGTAGATGAGACGTGATTGATCCCTGTCATGTCGAAAGTTGAACGGAGCAAAAAAAAAAAAAAAACAAAAAACAAAAACAAAAAAAAAGGAAAAGCCAAGAGTGGATGGCAGCCAGGATGATGGAGACCTTTCGACCGCCTTCAGTTAAGGTTAAGATGGACTCAGGCTCGGCGAAAGAGCCAATCCGGGTAAGCGATCTACCGATGTGGCGTATGGCAAAGGTGGAGCCACGAGGAGGTACGGCCACAGAAAAGTGCAGCCGGTTGCGCACTTCCTTCTGCAGCCGCAGGCAGAGAGATTAAAGTACGTCGTCCGGAAGTTGATTAGTAGAACCATTGCGGCGACTTGTCTCCAGTGAGGGATTATTTCATGTTTGCTTTTTTTGCTTCCCTCAAACTAACGCTTTTCATCTCCCCTAGCACTGCCTTGTCCTGCAGCTAAAGTGTCTGGCCTAATTTTTTTCTTTTCAAGCCAAAAAAAAAATAATAATAATAAATAAAATTCCAGACTTTTTCACTTTTTTCCAAAAGAATACTATCTCCCTTTTTCCCCTTTCTACATTCTTTCCCATCGGAATCTCTTGTGAAGGCTCCCGCGGACACCGCTTACGGAGTGGATTTCTTATCGCATGACCAATTCCATTCAATCATGCCCTTGACGCCAACATACCTCCAGCTCGCATGTCGTCTCGCAAGAACTAGACGCTAGCAATACGGGTTGGTTCTGCGGCATGTTCGCGGTTGTGACACCTTTTCCCACGAGAATTTGGATCCGTCGATCGTCTTGCTGACTTCGTGCTGTCATACTCCGTACACTACCCAGAATTGCGCGATAACCTTTGATCTTCATTCCGACAGCCAATTTTGAGAATCCTCCCGCGCATCTGCCACGCGAGAATTCTCCGACGATTTCGTGACTCCCGGACGGGCAACTGTTCCCACCCCCGTCAGGATCACCAAGTGGTGGTACAGCCGTGGTCGTCAAGATGTTCTCCTCTTTCATTCGCGGGGTCTCCTCGGTCAAGTCGCAAGTGCCACTATTAAGGAACCTGAGCCTCAACTACATCTTGATACACTATATTTATATCATTGCGATAGCCATAATCACCTCGATCATTATCTACCCAGGAAACGACCTCGCTTATATCGATGCGCTCTTCTTCGCAGCAGGGGCCGCCACGCAGAGTGGGCTGAATACGGTAGACTTCAACCTGCTAAGAACATATCAGCAGGTGATCCTCTACTGGGTCTCTATGCTGACGACCCCCATTTTCATCAACACCGTTCTCGTCTTTGTCCGACTGTATTGGTTTGAAAAGCGGTTTCAGCACGTGGTTCGTGATGCTCGAGCTTTGCGCCAAACCCGATCCAGAATGCGGACGATTAGCGAAGACAAGGATACCCAAAATCACAGCCGGGAGGAGGCTGGCGTCGGGAGTCGCGCCATTGTGGTGTTGCGCGAGAATCAGGGAGACTCCCAGGACCGTGAGCAACCAGACGCCATCGACAAAACACCGTCGGACAGTGACTCGGGACCCAGTTCGTCGGCTGCTAGAGATGAGAGTGGCCATACCTCCGAGCAAGAAACCGATGTCAACAACAACTTGAGGCGAGAGTTCGGGAGTCTCCGGGTTCCGGCCCAATTGAGCCCCGAACATCACATTGCGTTCTTGGAGAATCAACGGAGGTCCAAGGGTGCCTTGAGGATACCGAGTCCGAGGGAGTATGACCGTGGGGGCGTTCCCGAGGCCCTGGAAGAAGAGGAGGGTGAAGGGGCAGAAGCCGCCAGCAAGACCAGCGATCAATCCGACGACCCACCAAGCCCACGCCATGTGGAGGAGGAGGAGGAGGACCAGGTAGGACCGATGGAGGGGCCGCATATTACCATCAATGAGCCGGATATGATACGGACCCGGACGAGGAATTCCACCTTCCCCCGGTTAGACACCCGTCCTACGGTGCGCGAGACGAGGGACTTGGGTGATCCGTCGCCTCTGGCCCGCACCACCACCCGGAGACCCACGTTCACCGGCGTGTTTCGGTCCCTGACGCAGGAGAGAGACCGGAACACGCTTCCATATCTGAGCTGGAATGCAACGGTCGGTCGTAATTCCCAGTTCGTTGATTTGACCGAGGAGCAACGGGATGAGCTCGGCGGCATCGAATATCGGGCACTCAAAACATTGGCGGTCGTGCTGATCTCGTACTATGTCTTTTTCCACCTACTCGGGATTATCTGCTTGGTGCCATGGATCTTGACGACTCGCTGGGGTGTGGTTGTCACTAGTATTGGGCAAGGACGACCGTGGTGGGCGATCTTCACGGCCGCGTCCTCTTTCAACGACGTGGGGTTCTCCATCACCCCGGATTCTATGATCTCCTTCCAAGAAGCCGTCTTTCCCCTGCTTCTGCTGGCCTTCCTCATCATTATCGGCAACACGGGCTTTCCCTGTATGCTGCGATTGATCATTTGGCTATTGTCCAAGCTGGTGCGAAAAGAATCTTCCTTGTGGGAAGAGTTGAAGTTTCTCTTAGATCATCCTCGTCGCTGCTTCACCCTTCTCTTCCCCCGCAATGCTACCTGGTGGCTGTTCGCCATCTTGGTGGCGTTGAACGGGATTGATTTGATCTTTTTCATTATTCTGGACTTGAAAGATTCGGCGGTCACCTCGCTATCTACCGGTATTAAAATCTTAGACGGTCTTTACCAGGCCGCGTGCACGCGTACTGCAGGCTTTTCTGTTGTCAGCATAGCCGAATTGCATCCCGCGGTCCAGGTATCCTACATGATCATGATGTATATCTCCGTTTTTCCGATCGCCATCTCTCTTCGTCGAACCAATGTCTACGAAGAGAAAAGTCTGGGCGTCTACCCTTCCGAGGAGGACGACAACGAGGAGAACCAGACCGCGCCGAGTTATATTGGCGCTCACTTGCGGCGACAGCTGAGTTTCGACTTGTGGTACGTGTTCTTGGGTTTGTTTATCATCACGATTGTAGAAGGAGGGCGCCTGGAGCGCCAGGATGACTACTCGTTTCAAATCTGGTCGGTTCTTTTCGAGGTCGTCTCCGCCTATGGCACTGTCGGTTTGTCCATGGGGTACCCGGGAGTCAATGCATCGTTCGCGAGTCAGTTCCAAACGTTGTCCAAGTTAGTTATCATCGCCATGCAAGTCCGTGGTCGGCACCGTGGCCTCCCCTACTCCCTGGACCGTGCCATCTTGCTTCCATCCGAGGCTCTGAACCACCATGAAATTGCGGATGCAGAGCGTCGCATGCGCCGCCGTGCCTCTAGTCTCAGCCAGATGTCTACGGATCACCGGCAGTCCCAGGCTCAGGAGAACGGTGTGTCCACGGGGCATGACCCCAGAGACAAAAATACGTCGTGGTTCAGTGGGAGCCCTATCTTGCGTCGCCAGTCTACCCTGCGATCACAGAGATCTCAACGGTAGGACGTTGACTTGCCAAATAGATTAATTTTTTTTTTTCTTGGAAGCTCCTTTTCATTCATTGTGATCCTCACTCCCATGGTTTTAATCTTGCCTGATTGGGTGTAACATTTGCTTTTGGTGTTCTAGACTTTCTGTTGTTGGGATACATTCGTCTTTGAGCGTCATCTCTGCTTTTTAGCGTATCATTGCTCGAGCGTCTACAATGCTCTCCTCCTTAGGGCTGTTTAGTGTGTCTTTGTCCGGCAATTTCGGTGGCTAGTTTTCCCTTCCTGTATATACCCAATTAAAAGCCACGCAGCAGGCTGTGTGTCTGATTTCTCACGATCTTTTTCTGTATTCTAAGAAGCCGCCCGAGTATATATGGCTTATTGAACCACCCCATCCCACCGAAGATAGACATCCAGGCGACTTACTATCTGGGCTACCTGTCCGGCATTCGAAATAGCCATATTTGACACGCCTTCAAAGACTGTAGTTCGGTAATAACATGCCGATCAAAGAACAGCCCAACTACAAGACCACAACCACTGGGCCTTTATTCATAGTAGGATTCAGTTGTAAGGTCTCCCCACCAGCTTTGTAAAATCGATCGAAGGATACTCTTCACCACTTCCTTATTTACCCGATAGATAGACAACCAGCAGTCCAGTGCCCAAAAGACGCATCCTGAAACTAGCCTCGCGACCAAAGCTCCTTTAGACCGGAATAACCACCTGATCCAAGACAGAGATACTAACATGCCATACGCCGATGAATCCTCACAACCGAAAGATCCCACCTTCGAAAGATAACCTCCAATCAACTGTGTCATTTACCAGCAGCACGGCCAAGCTTTTCCCGCCCGGGTTCCCTCACCGGAACGATCATCTTGTCGGTACTCAGCATTAAACCCCGAAAGAAGGGACGATCATGCTTTGCCGACCAGAAGTGCGGGTGCGTGAATATCCGGGTGAAGCTTTTCGGTAGGACGACGGGTAATATGTGGAGCTGGGTTTGAGGGTGGAAGGTTTGTCTTAAGAGTATGCTTTGAGGGAATGGGGTGGGTTTGGTATATACGGAGTAAGTATAGGCCTGGTAGTGGATGTGTTGTTTATGTCTGGTTTAGATGTAGGATCTACCATGCTTTCTTACTGACTGTGTAGCTAGGGTAATATCCCCAAGAAGCTAGTATGTCCTCTCACCCCTTGCCATGAGTTCCATGATCCCTTCCACCAAGTGGATACTAGCATAACAAACAACATATGATATTCCAAACCCCCACGCCATCAACTCACCTCACCCACGATCCCAAATCCCAAATCCACATTAGCCAGCGGTATCGGAAGAAATCCCCAATGTCTAAGACATGCAACCGATCCTTCAAGCTATATCTCCTAAAAGGGAAACAAGCCCAATCCTTCGCCCGCAGGAACGACGCTACCCAGACAAGCATCTTCAGACATGCTTAGTGTCGGTGTCGATCACTACCGGGGATCGTATCAGACCGCTTGTCCGCCGCCACTGACATAACCATAATCTCCGAGATAATGTAGCTGTTTATCTGGACGTGCTAACAGAGTCGATAGACGGGAAGCTAGTGTAGTGACACCTAATATACCCTTCCTATGCACGTCGACCAGGTAGATTGCGGTCTGGAAGTAGTTAACCTCGAGCTGCGACTTCGGTGAATCTTCGGGGGTATAGCGTTAACGTCTCTGGATAAGCAGGTAGGCTATAGTTTTGGATTGATTGCACCGGCTTTTCCTTCCTTAGGCAACAGTAACTAGACTACACTTTTTCTGCAGACGGCCATATCTCTACCAAACACGTGGGTGGAGTCCGAAGGATCTAGTTAGTAGTTACCAAAGTTATACCCTACACATTCCCTCCTCCTCCATCCAGGACAGCTTCCAACCGAATACCGAGAGAGGCACTATTGTTCTTCCTAGATTGCGCTCGGCATTATTGGCCCACCAGGACACTCATCCATGATATACTGCCCGGTGAGTCCTCCTGACCCAATTAGGAAAGCCACTCACCATATAAACTCCCTTTCCCCCATCCTCTTCTTCTCACCAACCCCAAAAGATATACATCTATCCAAACCAACCCAAGAACCTCATCCAAAATGCGCATCCTCTCCATCGGTCTCCTCCTCCTCGCCAGCGCGTTCACAGCGCAGGCCTGCACATACTGCCAATGTGAATTCGAAGACGGCTCGCACTGCTGCGTCTACTCGGTAAGCCATCTAGCCAGCCACCCATGCACTCAGTTCTCGGGTCAGTAGATTGGTTAGAGTGACATGCTGACTCGTATCCAGGACGCAACCCAGGGAAACCTTGATTGTCCCTCTGTGTGCAAGAATGCGCATCGCGCGGACGGAAAGACGAGCGATGATGGCATGCCCGGGACGGCTTGCAATGCCGGCGGGAAGTACAAGTGTGCTTCTGCTTTTACGGCGTTGGATCGTACGCCTTGTTATAAGCAGTAGAGTGCTTTCTTTGTCTTTATTCCTTGGGGGAGGGTGCTAGGTTTATATGTAAGATTGGATGGGGGTAGGGGGTTCGAGGATTGAGGGTTGGGATGGGTTTTATGTATAGACGTGGAATGTCTTTATTTACTACTCAATAAGCAGCTGCTCTAGGCATATATGGAGGGAACAGCATGTCAATGTCTCCCATTTAGCACGTCATTGTATAGACTATCGTAGTGGTAACGGGTATTCTACTAAGTTGTATGCTACTGTCAGCCACGAAGCTATTATTTCAAACAGGGAGTAGACAAAAGACAGGCCCCAAACGAGCAATTCGTAAATTAAAGCCAGGGTTACTCTGTATAGTCCTGCGAACCCTACGATCCACCTCAGTACGGCTGCTCCACTTTAATTGCCATTTTGCCTGCTTGGATGGGCCGTGTTCCTTGGTCTTGGCAGTGCTTATTTCCTCGTCCCTGGCTTTGACCCTGCGCCTAACAGCCATTCTATGGTTCCAGGGGCTGTTTTGATCTGGCTGTATAAAGTTTGGATTAATTTGCGAGAAACTTAACCAGTATTTGTTTATTGAAGCAGTTTTGTTTACCGGCCTCAGGAACCATGGCTCCATTGGGTTTAGCGTGTGTGCCCGAGTCAGGGACGAAACGCAAACAAGTCAAGATGATGCCTGGCCGTGTAATAATAACCAACCATTGAAACTTGGTAGAGCATCGATGTCGATGTGAAATGAATGAATCGCCGAGAGTCTGACGCAATCTCCGATGAGGTATTCGTTGCATGGACAACCACTCGTTTCTTGTTCTGCTCCTTTCCCCACGTCTGATTCATTTCAACTGCATGCAGCACATGGATTTCCTGAACAGGAGATGATCGGAGGCGTCGTTCCACCTCCTGCATTCTGGATGACAACATCCCATCAGCTTCTCTTGCGCAGGACATGATTTCGTGTCTTTCCAGTCCATGGACTTCATTGACACCACCTGCAGAATCCAACACATGCTTCCACACGCCAATCTCGAATCTCCTCCCTTGATCTATATCAGTCAATAAGGCCACCTATTGCAGTATGACGGACAGAGCCCACCACATCCCTGCAGATGACTTGTCGCGATACGGCGGAGCTACAGCGCAGCTCCCCAAGCTCGAAGCCAACGATTTCCAACATGCGGGGCCCCCTCCGGGCCCAGACGCTAAATATACGCCTCCGCCGCCAGGACCCGCCCGGCCGTGGTACAACCCACGCGGGTGGTCGCTGCGCACCAAGCTGATTGCCGGCGTCGTAGGCGTTGCAGTTGTCGTGGCGGTCATCGTGGGAGCCGTCGAGGGCACAAAGGCGAATCGCTATCCGGACTATACGAAACTCAATTACCACCTGGTAGATACGTACTCGGGAACATCTTTTCTCGATCGCTTTGACTATTACCATGATGAGGACCCGACTGAAGGGTTCGTCCAGTATGCGCCCGTCCCTCTTCTACGCTATCTGGGGGTTTTATACTCATTTGCAATATTTAGATATGTAGATCGAGCGGCGGCAAATGCGCTGAATCTTACTTATGCGACGGATTCATCCGTTGTGTTGCGGGTGGATACCTCGAATCAGAATGCGGTCAATGGCCGACAGTCTGTGCGGCTGGAGTCGAAGACCGGCTATGATGACGGCCTGTTCATCTTTGATATTCTTCATACGCCCTATGGGTGCGGCACGTGGCCGGCATTGTGGTTGACAGATACATTCAATTGGCCGGCGAACGGCGAAATCGATGTCCTGGAGACGACCAACAATGCTCCGGAAGGCAATGCCGTCACATTGCACACGACAAGTGGCTGCAATATGAAGGTCAGGCGAAAGCAGACCGGTGACACCGTGTATACAACCTGCGACAACAGCACCAACACCAATGCCGGGTGTGGTGTCCAGGGTTCGCCAGACAGCTACGGTGAGCCTTTTAACAACAATGGCGGAGGTGTAAGTCTAAGACTCTCCATATGACCATCAAGTCATCTAACACAGTCTAGATCTACGCCCTGGAACTGCGAAACGCCGGCATCCGTGCCTGGATGTTCCCACGGGACGCCATCCCAGACGATATCACCAATTCAAGCAGCGCCCCAGACCCATCCACCTGGGGCACGGCGTTGGCCGATTTCCCCAACACCGACTGCGACATCCCATCGCATTTCCGCAATCAAAGCATCATTGCTAACATCGACCTGTGCGGTTCGCTCGGCGCTCAAAAGCAGTTCTACACCGAACAATCCCATTGTCCGGGCACGTGCGACACTTTTGTCGCAAGGAACCCATCGGCCTTTACCGAGGCGTATTGGGAATTCAAAAGTTTCAAAGTCTACCAAGCTCAGTAGATTTCGTCGGTGTTATTTATTCTGGTTATTGAGCCATGTTGTTGTATGTTGGGCGGGTATAATGGACATGAGTTTGCGATTATAAGGGTGGCTGTCTGAGATCTTCGCGCTTGGCTAACATATCATGTTTTACTCATAATGTTAATTGTTATCGTTTGTTGCTCTACGGTTGTGTGCAGACTAGGTCGGTGGGGTGATTCATAGAATGTTGTTAAGCTAAGACACATGAGGGAAGACAGGTTACTGTGCGGGTTACCAGGGGACCTCAGAGTATGGACAACAGAAGCGAGAATAATAAGCCAAAGAGAGCTTACAGGAACCATACTGTGATGCTTTTGGTAGTAATCGCTATTAAACAAACAAAAGGAACGAGAGGGAGAGACAGAGAAAGAAAAGGATGCAAGGGATGAGTAGAGTAACCTGTATTGAAAACCAAACCTCGAGAAATATATAACGGCACAATCATGCTTCAACAAAAGCGATCACCAAGCAGCCCCCACAAAATAGTAGCTGTAGCTATTGAACCAACAACACACCCCCTGTCAACAAAAAAAAAAAAATAAAAATAAAAACAGAAGAACTCTGCAGTCGCAAATGATCCCAAAAAGGGAGTTCCGCAGGAAAGCGCAAAAAAAGAAAGAAACTGGACTTGAAGGGAATTGAACCCTCGACTTCTCGCATGCGAAGCGAGCACTCTACCACTGAGTTACAAGCCCGTTGTATCTTGAAAGATGGCGCTTTATAATGACTCATAGTAGACTCTTTAAACTAACGCAACTGATCTCGAATAGTTGAAGTGAGATAATAGTTATGTATTTTGCAACTGGAAGCTTAGTACTCCGTACGGTGCTTTATTTTTTCTTTGGTGTAATGTCGCAGTATTCTGCCTGTATAGGCTTAAGCTCACAGTCGAATAATTCTGTCTGTCTTTTTTTTTTTTTCAACTTCCTCCCCTGGTGTGTCGATTTGTTGGACTTGTCATGAGGCACTGATGGAGATTCTTTCTTTCTGACTTGCCGTGTGGAGATTGTACTTACTTGCCGATGTTATTGTAGCCTTTGCTAGAAAGCATGGTATAAAGAATTATATGCCAGTATAGCATAGCGATGATTTGTAAAAACAATAGGGAATCAATGGATGGAAAACCAGACGGAAGAATGGAACGACTAGTGTTGGAAGAGAAAAAAGCAAAAAGAAATGCTTCCGATGCGGGGAATCGAACCCCGAGCTGCTGTGTGAGAGACAGCGATGTTAGCCATTACACCACATCGGATAATTGTTGAGTTGTGCTCCCTTTCTAAGCTATAGAAGCCAAAACCCCTTAATCAACAAATTTGCGCTACTCCACTACGCCCTAATGCACTCATTTCTACCATTTAACTGGACCTTTAATGCCACTTCATCACCGAGTACATATGTGTACTTAGGACAAGATTTTTCTCGCACCGATCTCCTCTGTGCTGTATTTCTCACAATAGCTGTAGTATTATCGCGGACTTGGTGATCATACACAAGGCTGCACGAACACTCCCACCTTGCTCCTCGAACCAGCGTAACATCGCCCGTTCTGACAACAACACATACTCATTACGAATGACTGGCACTGGAACACCCCCGAGTAGTGTGCCAACAGCATTCCCGGATCCCAAGGATGATGGAATAGCAGACTTCGGCGACTTTGTGCGCACTGAGGCTGAGGAGCTAGATCTCGAAGAGGTTGTCGAGCCCTGGCATAAGTACAGTAAAAAGGAAACTTCACGTGTCTTCTATCCATATTTGTGTTGGAGAAGTGCTTAATGAAAGGTATCTGGTAGAGCATAAAGTCGGCCATGGAGGCTTCTCTACTGTCTGGATGGCCCGTGATCTTCAGAGCGATAGGGATGTAGCCCTCAAGGTTATGTCTTCGGGAGAATATGGGGAGAATGAAATCCAGATGCAAGACACAATCGTCCAGAATGTGCAGGATACCTCCCATCTTGTGACGTACTTATCGACCTTTCAGCTGCCTGGTGACAAGTGCCATCATAGGGTTCTAGTATTACCCTTGATGGGCCCATGTCTCTACCCTGTTATCCTGAGAACAATGTCCATGGCCAGTCGTATGTCCGCTGCACGGCAATTGCTAGGGGCCTTGGAAAATCTACATAAAGCCGGTATTGTACACCGTGGTGAGTGAGCTCTGCCTTCCACTTTCCTGTTGGTTCGCACTCTAATTAATGGATATTCGGTAGATCTAAACGACAGGAACTGTATGTGGGGGATGGTTCCACTCCATACCCTCAATAGAAGAGCTAAATATGAGGCACTTGGCCGGCCGCTTAAGCAAGCTATACCATTTGTGGAGCTCTGGAAGCAGGGAGAGCTTGTTCGGCCTATTCAAAACCCGGAGGCCTTACGTACAGATGACTTCTATCTTGGGGATTTTGGTCTGGCGATGAAGCTGGGCGATCCCACATATCAACGGGGTTATCCACCTATGCAATTCTGCTCCCCAGACCGACTTCATAAGACAGAACCAAGTTTTGCCTGTGATATGTGGAGTTACATGGTCATCTTCGCAGAGCTTTACCTTGACTATCCGCCTTTCGCCACCTGGATTAAGGGTGGGATTATAGCTGGTATGGTCAGGTGTTTAGGTCCGCTACCGGAGCAATGGAAGGGACTTTACAATCACCCCGGAGGCCTTGATTCCTGGTACGACCAGCATCAAATGCCCGATCCAAATCATGACCATGCGGCGACTATCGCATACTTTCGTCCCGACGTTGATCCAGTTGAGCGAGAACATGTGCACTCTATTATGTCTAAAGTATTTACTTATTGCCCAGAGAAACGTCTCACTGCAACAGAGCCTCTACAGGGTCGTTCATTCAGAGCCATCATGGATACATATGGTTGTTGATGGTCTATTCTCGGGACTTCCTTTGCTGCGTTGTTGTGATGGAATCCATACACGTATCCTGTACTTCTATTGATTGCTTAATGTTGCCTCTACAATGGTCAATTCAGTCACTTATCACAATCTTAGTACAATATTCGAATATGTAGATGGTCTGGCATACTTGTAATCTCTATGGAAAAAGGGAAAAGTAGTTCAATTCTGCTTAGGTGCCTTGAAACTATTCACAGGATTATGCGAGAATATATCTCTTAGGAAGGACAACGATAGGTCCAACCAGGCAGTATTAGGAATCATTGTGCAGATATAATCTACTCCATTGCCTGGCGGCCAACCAACCCTGCAAGAGAATAACTCCTTCCCAACCCAAACGCTCTCTCCACAGCTTCAAAATCTCATCGGGTATCTCCCACTTCGCTGCCCATTGCGACAGTGTATCACGACATCTATCTCCACACGGCACATGGCCTGTCGCAGAATACTCGAAAGAAATTGCATGATCGCCCGTAGGATACACCCCCATCCGAAACTCCAAACCCAACAATCTAGGCATCCTGTTCATAGCCTCAGCCATAGACTTCATCAGTGCATCAAACATCTGAGGATCCGGCTCCGTTCTCCACAGGTGCTGAGGTTCATCGTCATTAAGCACGGCTTCTCCTTGCCCATTGGCCGCTTCGGTATCTTCCGAAATGATGGACGGGTCTGAATCAGAGCCTTCGTCCTCGTCAGTGTCGAATTGAAAGTGAGGATCCACAGAATCAGGATTGCCCGTGTAATACCATCGACCATCGTAGGTTAGCATCGCTGCATCGATATGAAGATCCTGTAAATAGGGGAATGGTGCCGTTCCATTGAAAAGTGCAGGGGAAATTGGCCACCATCCTGTGAGTACGAGACTTTCCAGGGGGGCTGTTTCTGCTAGCCGTCTGAGGGAGAGGTTTAGCACATCTCCATCTGGGTAGACTGGGTCTTCGGCTTGGGTTTCATAGCTGTGGTTGAGGGGGATGCTCTCTTCGAAGGAGATATATAGTTCCTTGAGGTTGCTTAAAGACGGTGAGTCCAGCGCTTTGGCGAGGGCTGAATGGTTAGTGAACCATACTCTTGAGGAACGTTGGAGACTTACCTAGTCGATACTCCTGTAACTCCTTCTTTCTCGGAGCGGGGGCGTTCAGCTTCAGTCTCAGGCTTTCCAACCCAGGTAATGAAGAGATAATCCAAGCGATCACTGAGGGATACAGATACCGTTCTACGTCAGGGATGTACAAGGACCCAATGCATGACAGTTCTGGTAGCTCTGCATTGTCTGAAGAAAGGTAGATGTCCCTCAGAGTCCGGTACCTAGGCCATAGTCCCATGTCTAAGTCTAGTGGTCGATGACCAAGGTCCACGGACGAGGAAGTCGTGATTGCTAGGTAGACACCTTGCTTGTCCCATGTTGCCAACCCGTCAAAGAGGTCTATGAGGCCCTTCTTGAAGGCTTTATCTCTTTCCTTATGTCTCTCCGAACGACTGACTCGATTTGCACTGAAGACCGGTAGATCAATTTCATACTCTAGACGCCGTAGCGTTTGCCTCCTTCGTGGACGAGAAAATATTTCACGGAAGCTGAGGAGATCAGAACTGTGCGTGTGGATATCTGCCATCGTAAAGCGCTCGACTGCGTATTGCCATGAACGGGAGATGACCGCGTATGAGGCGATGTTTAAAATAGGCATTTGTCCCCATCGTGGATCCCATGGCTTCAGTCTAAGAATGGGGGGCTCCTGGCAGAGATGGGGTATGATTAATAGGAGGACTTCTGGACTGAGAGATTCCATCTTGATCCTGGCGATAGGCGTGCGAGGGAGTGTTGGATCGATTCTGTACAACTCCGGGATCCTTGGCTGGCTGGGTTTAGTGTTGATTTGTGTTCGAGTGTGTTTGTTTATGACCCACATTCACTTTGGGAGGTCAGAAACCTGTTGGATTTGAGGAGTTGGAAGGCGTGGAAAGACCCGATTAGAAGAAACACCAGTAACACACCGAAACTCGGGGGCGGTAGGCATACGGAGCAGCTGACCGCAGGTGACCTGAGCAGGTGCCTGACATTTACGCTATATCGCTCTCTTATGTAGACCAGGTTATGATGACTGCTTTCTGTGGTGTTCGAGTTGTGATTGATTCGAGATACAGCGGCTGTAGTACACCCCGTTTGTAATACGAATCTGCTATATATCAAAGAATACTATAACTCACAAAAGTCCGTTTCGCGGAAAGCTGAAGTCAACAATTGTCCTTCACCTTAGAGAGCTATATACCATATACCATACACTCATACGATATGTCCAAACACACCGAGTCTACAGAGAGACCATCAGGAATCCCGCCGCCGCGGCCGCAACAAAGTACGCCACTCCGAACCAACCGCTCACCCGAACAGCAACAGGGCTCACAACACCAGCAGCGGCGCCCTCAGAAGTAGAGGTACTAGCTGCACTGCCGTCACTGGTAGGACGAGAAGTGACCTTGCCTGTGCCCGCAGATCCCGCCTGGCTGACCAAAGACTTGCAGGTGCCAGACAGATCCTTGGCAGACTGGACCGACGCCGCGCCGTCGAAATCACAGGCGGACTGGCGCTTACCTTGGTCTTTGTAGTACTGATCAAAGACAAAGGACAATTGGTCCTTGCTCGAGCAGACGCTGTAGGAACCATAGTCACCAGTCGTGGCGTTGTGAGAGATGCCGTCGCAGATACCTTGGCCATACCCGCAGACTTGGCCGAAGAGCTCGCCGTATTCTTCGGCTTTGACGGAGTCACTGACCACGCAGGACAAGCTGGACACCATGCAGGAGCAAAGGTCCTTGTTCGGAGATGGGGGAAGGGGGCTCGACTTGGCGAGCCACATGTCGTCGACGGTGGGACAGGCGCGAGGGGAGTTGGTGGGGGAGTAGCTGGCGCTGTTGATACCGGTAGGTGTGGCAGACTGGATCTGCTTGGAGTAGTATCCAAAGTCTGCTTCGGTCTTGACGGAGTTGTCATCGACTGAGACTAAACCGTAGTCGTTTTCAGTTTCGAAGTACATGTAGACGATCCCACCGCTCCAGACGTCCTCCATCTGGGGACCAAAAAGCACAGGGACATCACTGAATTTACGGGGCTGCTCGTCATTGCATCCATATTCAGAGAAGAAGATGGGAATGGAATAGTCTTTGTATTCATCCGTTCGGTTTTCATATCCCGAGGTCTGGAAGGTCTTATCACCGCACCACTCATAGATATTGTAGCCGAAGAAATCGACAGACTCGGACTGGTCGCCGCAGTTGAGGTAATCCGAGATCGACACACGGATGTCTGGATTGTCGGTGGTCGCATATCCGATACCGAGGGACTCCCGGTAGCCCTGGTCCTTGATGTAGGCTTTCATATCTCTTGCGGCGGCCTTGACGAAGGCAGCGCCGGTGGACTCATTCGCCCTGTTGACTACCTCATTTCCGGCGAAGAAACCGATGACATTGTCATACTGGTGGAATGCGTCAATGACGCTAGTGTAGCGAGTGTACTGGTCGACGGTCCACTCGGGGGAGTCCGACGTGATAGACTCCTCGGGAGACGCCAGATCGGTGATGACATAGATACCTGCATCGGCCAGCTTTTGCATACAGTCGTCGTGATCCTGGGTCGGGTCGACGGCGTAGGTTCGGATGACGTTCGTCCGCAATTGCTGAAGATAGGGGATATCACGCTCGCATTTGGACGCGTCTGCCAAGGGGTCGACGTAGCCGTTGCTGGATTGACCATTTCCGCCAGCTCCGCCACCCGTATAATCCTCTACCCACATGAATTAGAGCGGGAATGATTGAGGTAAGACATGACGGTAAACATACCCTGATAGGCCACACCTCGGATGTAACTAGGCTGCTGTGTCAGTGTTTGGATGTCTACAGAAGGAATGTCGATCTCACAATTCAGTTCCGTTGTTGGCGTAGAAAAACTTAGAGCCCTGTATAGTGGGATGGTTAGTCAAGCACATATCTGGAGGGGTATCATTAGGCTTGCCTTGATCTCAATGTGTGGGATACTGGCTAAGGCGGACCCCGACATCAGGCAGACGCCTGTCAGCGTGGAAAATCTCATTGGAACGAGCGTTTCAAGTGACTAGAAGCGAACTCGAACTCGATATAAAGCCTTCGTTCTATGACAAGCAATACTAAGGAGGGACGATAAACGCAGAAACTCCGCCGAGACGAGAGAAACGAGTGAAAATGCCTCACGCCACACAGCGCATACCACAGGGGACGAAGACGACTTAAAAGAACTCGAACAGGTGTGAAATGGGTGGAGGTAGGCAACGCTAGAGTTGAAGCGCCCCCCCGCATCAAAAGATGCCACCGCCGGACTGCACTCTCATCGTGCCTCGTTCATGCTAGTCGGGCTGCTAATGAGAGAGGAGGTGCCTAAAGGCAGTTTTCTCCACCATTGAGGTTGAGGAGACCATAATTTCAGCCCAGCACGGCATTGATACACAACTAATGTGTACTATTGTATATGAGTCACTGCATAGTGCGATGACTAACAAGCAAGTTATTGGATGTAACATGGGGGCGACAAGATGTCGAAGATTGGACTAGCACATTAATGAGCGAAAGGAACTCACTACTTGGCAAGAAAGCTTAGCCGACGATGGCAGGTCCAGGACGATGGAGCCCTAAGAAAGGGACGATTATCAGGGACCACCCCATGAGTGGTTCACAGGGCTTGCTACTGCCCGAGCTAGCTATCATCGCGATTACAAGTGTATTACACGACTCATGCTAGTCATTCATTAGCCCGATGCTAGAAGGCACTTATGTCGTCTCCAGCACTAGCACTGTAGCATTGCAGCTGGACAATAGCGTCTAGTGTGATAGTGGTGTATTGTCCTCGCCTAGGAAATACTAACCTGGAGAATAATCTAACTAGGTTCACGCGAATGGTTATCTAGTCAGGCAACGTTTTGAAGTCCGAGTGTTCGCATTCATTTGGATTGAGGGACCTCCGTGGACATCCGGTATCTATACCCAAGCTCAAGCCCCACAGTCATTTCCGAGAGCGCTAAAATGGGCCCTACTCGACCAAAAAGACTAGGTGTTCGGCAATTTCCCGGAGAGTAACGGCCGTGCGAGGCAACGGTGCTGAATTACGCCAGTTACCACGGGTGGAATCCTTGGGTCGCCAGCTCGACAACGTCGACGGAGCATATTGATAGTAATTTAACAGATCAAAACCACTGGATGGTGGGTCTTCTTCTACATAGGCTCTCACTTTCGTTCCTCTGCGCGCTAGATAAGCCACTCGGTGGATACCAATCCACTGTCAGACCCCGGCGAACCCCTTTGATAGACCGTCTGGTATCCATTAACTTATGGGACATGCTTCACTGGTTACGCTCGTAAAATACCCCAGACTATTCTCCTTATTATGCTTGGCCTTTGGCTCTACAAAGAGTCCGGAGTCGGTTATATAGATCCAGGCGACACAAGCACATACGCGAGATATATATACTTGCAATAGAGTAGGGTAGAAAATTTATTAGTCATACTATTCATGCAGCATTCTCAGAATTGAAACAAAGAAACAAAAACCCGTGTCTTATCTAGCCTCCGCACTCGCCATAGGCACTGGTTGCGCAGTCCTGGTAACCTGATCTCCAGCCCGCACGATGCGCTGACCAGTTGAATCCGTCAGCATCGGGGCCTTACCATCCGGCAAGGAATGCTTCCAGATTTCCACCTCGCATCCGCCACGAAGAACCGCGACCCGCATAGTAGACAGCAAGTTATGGGCCGCATTGGAATGGTTATAGACCCCACCGTTGAAGATAGCAGTAGCGTCTTTACCAACGGCCGACGAGATGAATGCCTTGCCGCCGGGATGCTCCTTGATAAAACCCGTGATATCATGAATAACGCCTCCGATAGTAACAAGCGCCCTGCCATTCTTGGCCTCGGCAACGAAATCATCCCAATCCATGACGGGGAGCTGGTCGAGGGGAATGCCCCAGTCGAGGGTAGAGCGCTTTTGGTCGAGCTTCTTCTGCAGCTGTTGGATGCGCCCTTTCTCGATTTCATTCTGGCGGAACTGTTTGAGGTCGTAGGCGAGGCCGAGCTGCTTCCAGACCCAGATGGACCATTTTGTGGGGTCGTACTGCCACCACTCGATGGCGTTACGGTAGTCTGACGGGAACTCGTGGTGGAAGTTATGGTATCCCTCACCGAGGGTTATGAAGGCGGTTATGATATGGTCTCTTGGGGAGTTGCGATCATCGAAGGGTTGTTCGCCGATCCAATGGGCAAGCGAATTGACGCAGAAGGTGGCCTGTTGAATGAAGAACACGCGCAGGATGCCACCGTAGACGAATCCACCAAGCCAATCGCCCCAACCTAGGCCACAGACTACAGTCGGAAACACGAGACACATGAACAGGGCTGACTTGATATAGTTGGTATGCTGCCACACGACCACGGCATCGGCGTCGAGATCCGTGACGTCCGTGCGACCGATCCGCTTCGGGTTCTGCTTCATGACCATCCAACCAATATGCGAGTACCAGAATCCCTTTTGGACCGAGTATGGATCCTTCTCGGTATCGGTGTACCGGTGATGGGAACGGTGGCCGCGGGACCACCATCGGATCGAGCCTTGTCCTGCACCGGCTCCTGCGGCGGCTAGGTAGATCCTTAATGGGAGGGTCGCTTTGTAGCATCTGTGCGCCCAGCAGCGGTGGTATCCTACCGATGGTCAGACCATGAATGGGAACTCGAGGGAAAGGAATCATACCGGCCGTGATGCCAAGACCTGCGTTGAAGTAGTATACAACGGCGAAGATGCCCGTATAGAGCTGAAGAGGTGTCCAGTATGCCCCAACACAGCCAAGGAAGGGGATGAAGAGAATGAAGAAACAGTTCAACCAATTGACATGTTTATACCAGTTGCCCCAAGTGATGGGTTGCTCAGTGATGTGTGGCTCTTTGGAGTTGTTCCTTTTTCTCATGGGGACGTAGTCTGTAGTGCCATCGTTTAGAGTTGTAGCTGCTGGTGATTTTGTGTCGAGCGCCATCTTGGGCTCTTTGACATTCGAGGTCAAGTATGATAGCCTAGAATCTTGTATGTATGATGGTCTAGAATACTGCGAGCGAAGAACGAAGTTTTACCGGGCGAGAGTGTGTAACCCGACACACCAGCAGTTGGCTATTATGTATATGAACACTATCTACATATTTCCAGTGGCATGATTCAAGTTCATGTCAAATACCCGCTCAACAATTGGGTCCATAGAGAAATTCAAGGGAGTGAATCTGTACGGATGTTGTCAGAGAAGACGTTGGGGCTAAATTGTTGGGAACGGGTGGCATGTTGCCTGAGTCAGCCCTAGGAAAATTCGAAACAGTTGACGACCGGGGTTGAACTCAACCCTAGGTCAATGACATAAAATATCTTAACATCCAAGTGTTGCCCAGAATCATAACCCCCCAACCTTCCATATTTACCTCGGCCATCGCCGTCACATGCACCTCTGGCATGGGTACAGGTGGAGGTGTTTGGGCGTGGCGATCAGGACGTTGATGGGCTGTAAGCTTCACATGTTGACCATAGAAGCTGGACCGTACCAAAGAACTGAAATACTGATCCACTAGTCAGGTAGATCAGCTATGACACAAGCAACTAGGCCTCAGACTAGGTAATACGAAGACTGAGCCGCTGGGTATAGATGCAGGACTTCAACTCGTTCATTCTCACGAGATTAAACCATAGCACTGCTTCTAGACGATGGATCCCCACGTCTGTTAGTTATGATCTATGCATATGATGATGCTTTTTTCCTTGGTTGAGAGCTATTATGAGAAAGGCACGACGCATTTGCACATAGGTGTGCATCATGATAGGGAGTAGTGGATCAAATATATGTCTGCACATAGTAGCCGGCCACAATATTTTGCCACGGTTGTAAGGCAGAAAAGCACAAATCACTTTGAAAAGGTTTGAATTCATCGGCTTGTATATATAGTGCAGACAAAAACAGAACTAGTACTAATTATACATTACTGAACGGGCGGTAAGTCCGCGTCGAAGTGATCTCAGGATCCTTACATATCTGCCCATTGCTACAGGTCCCAAAATATAGCCCCGTAGACCACTCCACAGAATCTAAACTAGTCACCAAGACTAGATGGTTTCAATGTTGCCATAATGAGTCAAAAGACTTCAAAGCGCTTCTTGAACATGACCACGACATTCCTTCTTGGCGTCGGTAATTACGTTTCCAGTCCTGCGATTATCCGCACTCTGCTGACGACAATAGATTAGGAAACGACGGAGATAACCCCATGCTCACGCTGACGGGGTCTACCCTGTCCGGTTCAATCTCAGTCAAGTGACGATGAGGAAACTGACAGAACAGTTCAATGGCTTCCGATAACCGATCTGCCATCCACTCGACGCGAGTCTGATCGAGGACATTTGTAGGACTGGCGATGACCAGATCAAGAGAGTCGTGACGCTCAATCGAGATCACATCGATCTGGCCAGCCGGCGGCCGAGAGCCGGCCCAGGTGATATTCGAATATGAACTCAGGCCACCTAGCTCCAACGGCTGATTTGCGGATTGAAGGGGTTGATGATGCACAAGGCATCCGAACTTGGCATCTTCAGGCCAGTTAGTGCATCGCCGAACGATATCCCGGAGGGCTACTGAGTCGTGCGGCACGGTTGCAACTTGCTGGGCTTGAGTGTGGCGCAAGAGATCGGATACCGTCCAATTGGGATCGATAGTGACGCGAATTGGTAGGAATGTGAGGCAAGGTCCAAAGACCTTGTCAATGTTCGGAAGGTCAGACCCGCGCCCATGGACAACCTGGCCGAGGATGATATCATGTTGTGATTGATATCGTGCAAAAAGCCACGCTAAAGCTGCCTTGATCAGTGTCGCGACCGTTGCTCCGGCCATAGGCACTGGCTGGCGTATCTCTCTCCGGGCGGTAGTAGGTGACAGTATGTCTCCAGGTGGATCGGATAGTGAAGTAATACCCAGTGGATCGAGGGCAGTGAAGGAAGCTCCTCGGAGGTAGTCAGCCCAAAATGATATACTGCGAGGATGCTCGTTCCCGAGCCGGTGGTGAACAACGTCGGTTAATTCAGTGGCAGCGGGGAGTGGTTCCTCGTTGTACGCAGACTTGATCGCATTCCAGAGGATTGGGAGGCAGGCACCGTCATACTGAGCATGGGAGATCCGCACAATAAAGGCGTACTTGGAGGAAGATGTGCTCGTCAGTACTGAGAAGCTTACAGGGACGGTTCCAAGTGGCGTAAACGGAGTCGCTTGTCGCTTCGTTTCCAACTGTAAGTATGCTTCTGGGTCCTCGACTTCCAGTTCAGTGAACTCGGGCTCAAGGCTCCGTAGGATCACCTGGAAGAATTGGTGGTCCACGGTGACAAAAACCGTCCGCAAAATGCTGTATTGGGATACCACAGTGCAGCATGCCTGCCGCAGACGATTGGTATTAAGAGACGTTGGGAATAGTTCCGCGAAGTTCACGATAGATGAGGAATCCAGATAGTAAGATTGACTATCTAGTACGGGCAGAATGCTCTGGACGTTGTCGTGACAGAAGGGAGGCGCTTTGTTGAAGAAAACTCGCAGGACTTCTGCCGAATGAGAGTCCGCAACGAGCGATATATTCGTGCTCTGGTGTGTAACAGAGATTGGGGGATGCTTTCCATCGACTGCAGACGCCCAGCCCCGAATAGTAGGATCTCGAAGGACCTTATGAGGGGTGATATCAAGGCCGTTCGCCTGAGCATGGGCGGCAATCTTCATAGCGACGATCGAATCGCCGCCGAGGTGAAAGAGGCTGTCATCGACACCGATCTTGTGCAGAGGGATTTTGAGAAGCTGACTGACAATCGCCTGGAACTTCTTTTCAGTGGCGGTTTGAAGTGACTCTTGGCTTGGTTTTATCATGGACGAAGCAGATGCGCGATCCTTGGAGCGGAGGGCTACTATTGCCTCTCGCAGACGTCGACGATCTGTCTTGCCTGATTTTTGGCGTGGCACATAGACCATGGGTAAGAACAAATCGGGGACCATAAAACTGGGGAGGACCTCTCGAAGCCGTTGGGCTGCGATCGCTGCATCGTCGTCGAATTCCCGACTTGGGGTGTTTAGTACGCCACACTCTAGCGACGAATCCGACGTTGACTGCTCAGAGAGGCGCTTCCCGTGGATGCAGGCGATGATTCGAGGGTGCACCGAGGACTCAACACCCGCAGCTGTTTCTGAATCCTGTGGCAGCAGGATCTGCTCGACAACTACGTCTGCTGCGCCAGGAAAGCATTGGGCTGTATGATACTCGATATCCTCGAGCTCCACGCGCTGCCCACGTACCTTAATCTGCCGGTCTTTGCGGCCCTCATATCGCAAGGTACCATTTGATATGTCGTATCGGACCAAGTCACCAGTCTTGTACAGGCGCCAGGATGATATGTCTTTCGGGAAGAAGGATTGTAACCAACTAGGGGGCGCAATGAAGGCTTCGGCGGTCCTCTTGGGATCATTGATGTAGCCCTTAGCGACAGGCGGACCGCTGATAACCAACTCTCCAATGGCACCGATGGGGAGCAGTCGATGGTGGTCGTTCTGGTCCACCACCCAGAAGTGGACCCCTAGGGCGTAGCCATATCCTTCGGATCGCAACCGGGGACAATGCGGGATGTTGCGGTATTCAAGACAGAACATTCGGTTGGGCCGTAAGCATTCATCAGATGACAGACATTGGCCCATTGTTGGATATGCGAGGTAGACATGGGCTCGCCCAGGAGGACAAGAGTTTCTACCCATGATGCTCTGCTGGCGTCAAGCATCCCAGCAATGGACGGCGTCACAAACGCGTGGGTAACTGTTATCGGACACACCCCATCCAGCAGCATGCGACTCCGTTCTGACTCGGAAATGACGCACACTGTGCCTCCCGCCATCAACGTCGTGAGGACTTCCATCACAGACACATCAAACGCGTATGACGAGAATTGTAATACGCGGGACCCGTAGCCAATGGAGAACGCTCGTATCTGCTCCCGAGCAGCAGCGATGAACGATATGTGTGGGACCATGACTCCTTTGGGAGACCCAGTAGTCCCTGATGTAAAGAGTACATACGCTGGTTGTTCAGAATCAACAACTGCTGGTAGGTCTGCCGCTCTCTCACGGTGGTCATAGCTCCTATCCCCAACCACAATGACGTCGCCCGCTAACGTGGGACCCATATTTGCTTGAGCCACTGAAGTAAGGACCAAGCGAGCATGTACCCGCCGACAAAGCTCCTGAAGCCTGGTGATAGGGTGTGTTGGGTCTAATGGCACGAAGGTACCGCCGGCCTTCATGACGGCCAGCATCGCCACCGCGGTCCACCGGGACTTTTCGAAACAAAGGGGAACGTATGCCGTTGGTGTGACTCCTCGGGCGACCAGACACGCAGCCAGTTGTGTGCTCTGACTCTCCAACTCACCATAGCTGAAAGACCCATCGAATCCACAGACAGCTAGAGCGTTCGGCTGTCGCCGGGCACATTGTGTGACTGCCTGATGCACGCATTGGGGTTGTGGCTCACGAAGTGCAGTGTTCCAGTGCAACAATCGTTTATGGTCATTGGCACTCAGCCGGTGTAAGTCGCCGATCGTTGCACGGGGATGGCGAAGGATAAGCGAGATTCCCTCCGAAAAGTAGTCTGCTAATTGCGTAGCCAAGACGGCTGAGACTCGGGAGGGGCGATAAGACATAGAGACTCGGACACCTCCATGTTGGTCTATCAAGGCATAGAGCATAATGTCTTGCTATTGATTGTGTCTCGCGTTAGTAAAAGTCTTGACTAGCCACGATGTGAGGATGCGGGAATGAAACACTTCTCTGTAGTTCCATGTCCGCTTTTACGTGGAATGAATACTGCAACACAAATTGATCGATAAAGGAAGAGACTACTCACCGAGGTTGGATCAAGTCCACCGATTGGTTCAAACGTGAGAGAGGATTTGCATTGTTCTGAACCGGAATCAGGAAGGGCATATTGAACGCTGATAGCCGTGGAGGCCAGCTCTTGCACCGTTACACCTGCCACTCGTGCGATCTCCGATAAT